AGAAATGCTAGGATATTGTAACTTTCTATGACCATCACATTGATCAGATAATGACAGGGTATGTGTGCAGTGATGGTAATGGTGGGATTATAGGAGGTCTATCATTCTTGATTTTCTTCACCTGGCTCATGCTAACCTATTTATTTATTTATTAAGTTTCTATTGTGCTCATCTCACTGATACAGTGACTCTGTTTGAACTCTTCAGTTTGTTTCCATTTAATAAATTGTACGGTAGTCACTATCTAATGCTCACCACGTTCATATACCCAACACATGCATATACATCCAAAAATATAAAATTCAATCAACGTATATTCATAAATAACTGTATAAAATATTTTGTTTGACTGCCTCTCATTCTATTTTTAGAATATCACCAAGCTCAACAAAAATCATGATCATTGGTCATCTCCTTCTGAAAGCTTGATCCACAGGGTGTGGGTGGTTCCCACAATTTTGGAAATCACAGAACATAACAGTGTTGCGAGGATCCTTAGAAAAAGAGAAATATGGAAGGGTTGAATTATATCCTCACCCAAAGGGTAAAAATGTTTCTTAACAGAGTGACTTTAAAAAAAAAAAAAACCTGCCTCCTAAAATTGCTGAGGGATGCGGGTAGAAATCATCATCAGGAACAAAAATATATTGTTAACTAGCCGAGTTATACACCCAATTGCATATAATTAATGGAGCAAGTTGAAAACCATTAGCTCTTTCAAATACCAATTACTGAAAGGTGAATAGTACCTGTTCAAGCCTGTGTTATATTTGTATTAAAACTTTAAGAGGACCATTTCAGAGGTGGGTTTCAGCAGGTTCTGACCAGTTCTGGAGAACCGGTAGTGGAAATTTTGAGTAGTTCGGAGAACCGGTAAATACCACCTTTGACTGGCCCCACCCCCATCTATTCTCTGCCTCCCGAGTCCCAGATGATCGGGAGGAAATGGGAATTTTGCAGTAACTTTCCCCTGGAGTGGGGAAGGAATGGAGATTTTACAATATCCTTCCCCTGCCATGCCCACCAAGCCACACCCACAGAACCTATAGTAAAAAATTTTGAAACCCACCACTGGACCATTTGTGCTGCACATACTCCAAACTCAACCCTCTGTGTGCTGTTTGTGTCTTATCTCTTAGCTAGTTCCACTTAAATGGATCTGTTAAGAAGCCCAGAGACAGAGAACGGTCTCTCCAAATCAGGGCAGCCCAGATGTAAGAACTTCAGCTGTACAGTCTGCCGTTTGTGTGCAGGAGGGTGGTGGGGAATGCTCAGCCCTCACTTCACCCAGATTCTGCTATATAAGTTGGTCAGCAAATCATGAAATATTGATGGCATAATTTCCCATTGATTTCTGACAGAAAGCCAAAGAAATAAGGTCTGGGAAGCTTTCAGAGAGTCTTTGCACGCATAAAACAGCAATTTTAGTAAGCTTTAAAAAATTTAAGCAAGGGAAAAACTTCAGTTCTGCATGATATCATCATCCCAGCCTCTGAATCCCAGACACTGGAAATTATACATATAAAAGCCAACCTTTGGCTTTCAGTAGATATGATACTTCACTGTAAGTACCAGCCATTACTGCTTCACAGCAGTTGAGAGAAGATGGGAAAGGAATATCTATCTTTCCTGGCAATTGCCTTTTCTCTTTTCTCTTTTCCTTTTTTGCCAGAATGCTACTTTCTATTTTCATACCTTAGTGCAATTGTTCTTCTTCATTTGGGACCTTATAGACTGCCTGCCCACCCCACAGGCCACCTGCCCTCATTACTGTTATCTTAGCCCAACTATGGTGGGCTATAAATGCTATAAATCACAAAGTTATCCAAGGGAAATCCATACCACTAATCCAAATGCTTCAGCCACTTCCTCAGCCTCCTTGACCCAAACAGCACTTTTTCAAACTACTGCCTTCAGGCATGTTGGACTACAATTTCCAGAATTCTAAGTCTTGTATGCTATGCGTTGCTGTCCAAGGTATCTTTAAGGCACAAGGCTGCAGAAGTGTGCTGGGCCTTTTTTTTCCAGCCCTCCTATATTCAGGTGAGGATTTTATTTCAACAGGGCATTTGGCACCCAAGGAAACCAAAATGGTGCTCCTTTGGATATCTATTCACCATTCAGTTTAGGTGCAACTGTCATGCCCCTGTCGGAGTCTGACTCTGAGATGGAAGAGGAACAGCTGAGAGAGAGCGAGAGAGTGGCTCCGTTGGCTATGGAGGAAACTGGGGAAGGGCAAAGTCAAGCTGGGCAGAGTAGGGGAGAGATAGAACAAAGGAGAGGAGGTTCTGATGAAGACCAAGGCCCACCCCCCTCCTCATCATAGGGCACACAGGGAAGAACGGAGAAGAGAGCAATGTGGGTTGCGTGGCTTATGAGGGAGGAAAGGGCCCCGACTCCCTTCACAAGATACATCTGGAGCTGGAATTTAAAAGAAGAGGCAAATGGGAGGGGCAGTTGTCGGGAACAAACTCTGAGTTCGTGTTAGCTGCTTTATCTGAGTTCCTGGCATCCGCCCAAGTGGTTTGATTTACTGCCATGCTATTTCAAGTCTGGACTTCTTATCTTGCTTGCCCTGCTGAATTAATTACCTTATCTTGCCCTGTTGGATGTATAGTTACAAGTTTTGTCTGCTTACAGGTTTGTGGAAGAGTTTTTCTCCAGACCGGAGAGTAAAGAGAATTGGGGGCAAAGTTTGGGGCTAATAAAGGGACTTGTACTTATTCTCTGGCTGTGTTGCCTTTGTGCCATGCCCTGGGTCATCACAACAACCTTGATAGATCCCCTTTGTGCCAATGGGAAAAACCTCCAAAAATTGCTCTTCTTCAGGTGGAATACAACTGGGGGAGGAGGAGACAAATTCTGGCCAATGGTAAGAATGGTGGGATTTAGTCATCCATCAGAATCTGATTTGGGTGAGCTCTCAGTGAAGCAAGAGAAGCTCTCAGGGGTATCTGCAGCAAAATGGGACAAGGTATGGCAAAGCCTCACCCACCATTGATGTCCCTGTATAAGCCCCGCCTTTAAGTGCCTATGTCATGATGTCATTGTGAGCAGGGCTACATCACAACATTCTTGCATATGTTCAAACTGCGTGAAATCACATTGTGTGCTTGCTAGAAAAAAAATTGAAGTCTCCCCAATTGTTTTCTGTTGGTATGATCTCTGAAACCATTTGAGCTTGTTTCACACGTTCTTGCCCGTTGTATCCAAAAGCACATAGGTGATCATTGCTGAATCAAGGGGGCAAGAAAGTGGGATCTTTAATCCCATCCATCATTATTCTGTTCTTATTCAGGTCCATAATTCAGATGATGATGCTTTTAGCATTGCCAAATCTTGCATCTGCTGCCAAATGTGAAAGATATACTAATGGCTTAAGGTCTAGGCCAGACAGTTAAGAGATTGTTAATATCCTGTTGTAGGAAAATAAACACAGACAGCTTATTGAGAAATTTAATCATTGCATTGTAATTTGAGGGATCCTTGGTGCTCTCTGAACTTGCTTGTTTTCTTGCAGATGTTTCATTACCCAAGCTAGGCAACATCATCAGTGCTAATGCTGGTAGTAACATCACTAGTACTGATGATACCTAGTTTGGGTAATGAAACATCTGCAAGAAAAAAAGCAAGCTCAGAGAGCACCAAGAACTCCGCATTTCAGCCCTGGGTTACAAATAGTCTCCTTTATTGGTGCATTGTAATTTATTCAGCATAGCCATTTGAAACAGCAGCATAGATCATGGCATATTTTTTATCTTTCATTTCCTCTTATACAGAAAAATGCAGCTAAATTCATTTTTACCAACGGGGAGATTGTTGAAAATACCACTTCCTTTAAGACACCTCTTTTTGAAGAGAGCTGCATTCCCAAACCCAAGATTTCCCTCTCTACTACATGGATCCAGCTTGGAGTTATTTTGTTCTTTCTAATAGTGTTGGGGCTTCTGACTTCTACACTCACACAACTTAAATTATTAGTCGCAACTGCATTCTTTCCGAGCACAGACATGAAACGGATAAAGTATCTGCACACAAAATTATTAAACAGAAGATCCAAGTTTGCCGAGAAAAACGTGAAAAGGAAACTTAATTCATTTGCAAAGGTAAACTGTAAATAACATGAAATACTGTGCTGGTTTGTACAACACTGTTCAGAATGTAACTGTAGAATCCACTAAAAATAAGCACCATCAAAACTTTATCTATAGAGCCAGGATCAATACTACTCTCTCTCCCCAAGATTGCCCTAAAGGGAATCTTCACATATTTTTCAATAAATATGGAAGCTACTTAGGTCATAGACCACATTACGCTGGTTATATCTCTATTACAAAGTAATGTTTTGACTCACATAGATATTGTCTCTGCACAAATACCTATAGCCATTATTGAAATGCATATGTGTCTGAGGTTAATCTTCCCGCTTCCTCCATCAATACCTGAAGGATGATGGAGAAGAAATGTTCAGCATTCATCCTCCCTGAAATGGGTCTACTCGTAATTTTTCTGGGTTTTTTTTTCTTCATGACTTTTCAGTTCTGCTTAGAAGACAGATACCAAATAAAAACCTCTTCTTTTGTAATAAGTAAAACTAATCTTCTCCTTTTTCCTTCTTCCTTCACAGTTACATTTTTGGTTTCCCATCCTCCAGGCACTGGGAAATGCCAGGAAGAAAGAAACCAATGTGGAAAAAGAAATTCCTGTTTTATAGCATTAGCCACAGGTTCCCAAGCTCAACATTTTGCCTGGTGAAAAGCTCCTGGAACTTCAATTGTTTGTGTGTGTTTTGCAAAACTCTGATTGCCTTAGTATGAAATTTGGAAACATTAAAGAAATATTTAAAAAATGTAAGGCTCTATTAGTAAAAATAAATTAAAAAAAACATTTGCTTTATTTCCCTTATACTGGTTCATGTTTCACCGCAGAATTGTGCCATTTAGCTTAAGGTGACTCAATTGAGCAGACTATTTTTGACACCCCATCAAAACATCACTTCCTTTCCAGATATATAATTATTTTTATTAAACAGAAGAGGAAAAGAGAAAGAACTGGAGAAAATCAGAAAATACAATGACCTGCAAATAGTAGTAGAGGGACTTTGATGAAAGAAAGTACCAATAGTATTAGGTGCCTTGGGTGCAATGCCAAAACATCAGCATTGACAAAATCACCACCGGTCAGTTGCAAAAAGCAACTTTCATTGGAACAGTTTATATCTTGAAACAATACCTTTAACATCATCAAACAATAACATCTACCTATCCCATCTCCTTAGGAAGGAGTCAATAGGTGGATAAAAATGCAAATTCAGTCTAAGCATCTGGCTGACTGTGCAACCAGTTATAATTCTATGCAAATTCTCATTCATCCAGGTCATGGTTGTTCCAAAGATGCTTTTTCAGGAGGCAACTGAACTTTCTTGCTTTTTTCTTTGAAGATGTTTTGCTTCTCATCCAAGGAGCTTCTTCAGTTCTGACTCCTGAAAAAGCACCTTTGGGACAACCATGACGTGGATGACTGAGAATCTCCACAGACCTTTAGCTATGCACTTTGGGATGAACACCCTTTGAATGGTGTGGGGGGTATGAACAGATTTCCAGAAAAATTGCAGACTACAGGAACCATTTGCCCTTCAGTTTGAGATGCAGACAACACAGGCTCATCCCTAAGAAGCCTGCGCCTGTCTTCAGCAGTGAAGGGACACAGGGCAGAAATCATCCTGCAGCCAAGAAAGCTCTACACCCATTTTCACTACTCAGGTGACCCTGAGGACACAGATGAACCTCCAAGTGGCCTCAAGGACTCTCTAAAAGGATGCAAATGACCAGCTGCCTGCAAGGAGTATAAATCCTTCCATTCTCCACGATCCAGTCAGAGCTGAAGAAGCTTCTTGGATGAGAAGCGAAACATCTTCAGAGAAAAAAAACAAGGACAAGAAAGTCCAGCTGCCTCCTGAAAAAGCACCTTTGGGATGACCAGCTATAATGTATTAAATGTATATGCTGCCCAATTTCTTTCAATATTGTTTTCAATTTGCTTCCTTACGCCTTCTAAAATATTCGCCCAATCTCTTCTCCTTCACTTTTGCCCTATAGTGTTTTGTGGCTGGGCATTGTCTTTTCTGATACATCATCATCAAGTGCCTTCAGTTCTTCTACCAACAATGACAAAGGCACATAGAAAAACCTAAAACCCCTCCCTTTTTTTCTTTGAGGTAAGGAAAAAAGACATTTAGTTTGCTTTTTCTTAAAAATATAAAAGCCTGGTCCAGCTGTTTTGAGAAGTCAAGGCAAGACAGGTCATTGAAAAGCATTGCAAAAAAATCCTTTAGGGGTAATCCAGCTTTGTTCCAAATTCAGTAAACCAGAGCAAAACCAAAAATCTTATTAAATACACAAGAACAGTTCCAATTGATGACTCAATGCCATATGAACAGATAGAATCAAATCTGCTTCTGGAACACTGCAAAGGTGTTGGATGGACACATCCTGAAAGGGAGTGCAGTAAGAGGATCTAACTAGGGTTTTCCAAAATGGAAAGGCAAATACTTGAGATGAAGAAAGGAAAGCACTTGGGATGAACCCATCACTTAGCTCTCAAAGACAGGCATCAAGTCAGGGGTGCTATTCAGCAGGTTCTGACAGGTTCTGGAGAACCTGTAGTGGAAATTTTGAGTAGTTCGGAGAACCGGCAAATACCACCTCTGGCTGGCCCAGAGTGGGGTGGGAATGGAGATATTGCAGTATCCTTCCCCTGCCATGCCCACCAAGCCACACCCACAGAACTGGTAGTAAAAAAATTTGAATTCCATCACTGCATCAAATCATATACCCAGTTTAATCATGATTGTTTCTTTGTTAAGATTAACTCATGTCTTAAACCTGAAAACATTTATTTCAAAGACAGTTAAGTTAAACAGCAGTTAAGCTGCTGCATCTTGCTCAAATCAGATAATTCATCCTGTCCAGATTTTATTCTAGCAGACAATCGTGGCAGGTGCTCTATGAAAGCTAATCGGATAGCTGTAATTGCTATAAATCAGGCACTAAAAGAAGTTCTGAGAACAAGGTTATCGTGTGCTGGAAAAACAACAGTGATTTCTCTAAAAGTCAAAATATGTGAACAGAAGGAAGATCTTGCTGTAATTTTGTAAGATATAGCAATGATTACAACACCAATGGCCAGTGCAGTTTCACCAGATGTTTGTATCATCCAGAAATCTTCAAGCACACAAATCAAGAATTGCAACTGTTTTGGCCTACAGAGAAAAAGGGAAATGGTGTGAATAAATCTTCAAAAAAATAAAGCAGTCTTCTGCTTTGCAATTTGTCACCTAGTGAAGCAATAACAAAATTAGAGCACACAAAAGAAGAAGAAGAAAACCCTCTAAGGTTGACAATATTTTCCTCAGGTTCTGCAGCTTTAGATTTTCCTTCTTGGTCAGAACTATGCCTTCCTTAATGATAACGGGGAAAAATATTGGTTCCACTAACACAGTCTTTCCATCTCTGCAATTCTAGGAGTTTATTCCAGTCATGTTCTGGCTGAAACAAACCCTACAACACTGTTAAAGGAACACAAGATGAAATTAGATGATTGTGTTAGCCTAACCCAGGGGTCTGCAACCTTAAAACACTCAAAGATCCATTTGGACCCATTTCCCACAGAAAAGAAAACACCAGGAGCCACAAAACCCTTCCTGTGCCTGACTATTTCTTGAGCGGCCACAAAACTAGCATATGTAATTGAATTAAACATTCTGTTTTCTTCCGAAAATTTTCTTTTCTTGGATTTATCCATGGTTCTTTTCTTGGATTTATCACATTCCGGCGGGTATTGCACATTGGCGGTTGTGATGCATATTTTGAGTGTTAGGGAGCTGCAGCAGAGGGGTGAAAGAGCCACATGTGGCCTAACCCCTTGCACTAGTTCTGAAAAATAGGAGCCCGCATCAGAAAAGGTCTCCGCTACGGAAGTACTCTAGCAAAAGGAAAGTGTTGGGTGACAGGACAAACTATATTATCTGAAGGCACAGAAATTCTAAACCTGAATAAAGTACAATAATCAATTGGCCAATACTTCTAGTATATTGCATTTATTACCTAAGACAATTCAGGACTTCCTCCTGCCTCTTCAAAAGATTTTATTTATTTTATTTATTTATAATTAAATTTATATACCGCCCTACTCCCAAAGGACTCAGGGCGGGTGAACAGCCAGAAAGTAAAATATACATACTACAAACGTTAAAAATCATTTAAAGTACATTAAATACTTTGGCCAGATTTAAAACACCCCAATTATAAAACCAATTTAAAAACAATTAAAAGGAGGTTAGGCCAGACCAGCCTGCTGGAATAAGAATGTTTTGAGGGCGCGGCAGAAAGTGCGCAGATCCGGGATCCTCCGTATCTCCAGGGAGAGCTCGTTCCAGATGGCAGGTGCCCCTACAGAGAAGGCTCTCCCACAAATTTGATTGTGTAATGAAGGGTTTTTTTAAAAAAACATCCTACTGCAGGTTGTGTACAGAATCTATACCCAACACCTTCCTTGTTTAGCTTTATTTCCTGTAATTTGTATTCCATTTTTTCTCTGTCAACCCACGTAACCTTAGCTCATCTCAAAAAAGCTCCAATCAGCTTAGTAATTGGATAGGACACTATTATGAAATCATATACTTATAGATTATTTTTAAAAGTCTGGGGGTGTGTGGAAATCCCAGAAAAAGGAAGTTGACAAGCCACTATTCCTATTGTTGCCAAGAAAATTATCTGGACAAGTCCACCAAGTCACTACTCAACTCAAAGGAGTCTTTATCTTTTTTCAAAGAAGCTCACAATGATAGGATTGCCATATTTTATCTTCATATACAATCCTGTGAAGTAGCTTCTATTAAAGATCAAATTGCATATTCTGCTGCATCCACACTGAGGAGGGTTAAGCTTTGCCCTCACTTGCCACTGATGCTAAAATCCTGTTGTAAAGGGGAATGGGACTGCAGTGAAAGCAAATGGGTGGGGAAAGTTTACTCCTTCCAAATCAACACAGGTTGGTCCTGATCCATATCAGGTACCATCCACTTCAGTGGTGGATTGCCCCCAGTTCGGACCGGTTCTATAGAACCGGTAGTAAAACTGGCGGTAGGCTCCGTCCATCAACCCCAACATCATCAGAACACTTCTGCGCAGAAGAGTGCACGTGTGCATGAGCAAACCGAGCGAACGAGCACAGCCCCGTGGCGAACCAATAGTAAAGGTAAGTAGAACCCACTCCTGATCCATTTATAATGCTAGAAAAATCTAGGATCTGATACATGTTACATATATTGCCCAAGCTCCCGTAGGGAGTGGAGTCATGGCCATTGCGCACAAGGGAAAGGGCTTGGTCAGCTATTTGCCAAAGTTATTTTCATAAGGTATAATAAGAACATACCTCCTGTTGGCATCTCCTAAGTGGGAGATCCAAAACTAGGAGAGATTTTTAAAAGTGCTTTAGAGTAATCAACAACATCTATTGCTGAGATGATTTACAGCAGGCCTGTCAAACTGGCGGCCCCTGGGCTGGTTGTGGCCCACGCAGGCCACGCCAATCCTGGCTCCATAAAGGCAAAAAACATCCTGATACGTCATGATACTGCCCGAGATGTGATCGAGTTTGACACCCCTGATTTACAGGTTTCAGAACAAATGTGACTAAATTAATTAGGCCAGAGTCTTTAGAAGGCTAGAAGAACTGAGCCCTTATCCCCTAAGGTGGAGAGCAGTATTTGAATTGCATTTGTAAAAAAAAGATGATTAATTCAAACCTATATCATAGTGTCATACTTTGGCAGTGAGAAATTTCAGGAGAATACACACATGGAACTGGGAAGAATCTTACTTATATCAAAACATCTTCCAGTTTGTCAAAATAATCAAAATCTTTTAGAGGAAGAGGGAAGTTAATGTGCACTTCGGTTGGTACAAAGCTTAGAAAAATAATCCTTGGAATCCCATGACACAATACTAATTTAAAAATATTTTGATTTTGGCTCTTCTGTGATGGGCTCCCAAATTATTAGAAGTAACCTTTCAGCAAAGTCTTGAGTTATCTTCTGCATTTCATCTGACTTACGTATTCTTACTTTGTCTAGTTGAGATGGTTCACAAATTCCAAAGTTCTGAAACTGGTCTCAGTATGTCATTCAACATACTTTCAATCCAATAAAAAATTACTGAATGAGGATTTGAGACTATTGTCTGCCAATAAAACTGTTTGGGCTCAAGCAAATAATGAACAAATTTACCTGAAGAATACTAAGTATATCATGAAGTTATTTTGATGGAGTGGAGAGTGGCTCCACTTTTCCCATATATGGTGCTCGCTTCACAGCAACAGGCTGACATTCCTGCAATGATATATTTAATTTTTTAAAAATCTTTTTTTCTTTTCTTAACGACGAAGTGAAAAATAAAGAAATAGAATACCTAATAGTCTTGATGCTTTGCAAACCAGGCCTAGATGTTAAAAAAGAAGAAGGAAACTGACAAAACTCTTGTCAATTTTAGTTATCTGGATGGATTTCTAGTATCTCTTCTCCTTTCCCCTTACCTCCACCCCACTCCCCTCAAATTCTAGCTCTGGAGTGCTTTTAGCACCATATCAATAAGTTGAGATAAATCAAGTCCTGGTTTCCTCTAAGAAGGCTGACATCATACACAGTTGTTTTCATAAAATCATAGAAGTCGAAGAAACCATTTAGATTTATAATCCAACTCCCTGCTTTATGCAGACATCCAAAATTAAAATATCCCCAAGAGATGGCAGTCTAGCCTTTGTTTGAAAAATTAATGAAAAGCAGTCCAACATTTCTCCAGTTAATTGGTTCCATTGTCATTATGCTCTTACTGTCACAGATGCCTCATGTGCATGAATTGGCAGCATTAACTGTATATATAGAATTACTCTAACAAAATCTCTTAGCTGAAAATTAAAAAAAAAACATTGGAATAGTAAAAGTTATAATTAGTGCAGAATCCACTAGAACATTTCTGATGGATCCAACTGCTGCTTAGAGATCTCCAAACATTTTATAACAAGATATAACTTATCTTTAGGTTAACTTCATCTATATCTTCTATAGCAGAGATTTTTAAACTTGGCAACTTTACGATTTGTGGACTTCAACTCCCAGAATTCCCCAGACAGGAATTCTGGGACTTGAAGTTCACAAGTCTTAAAGTTGCCAAGTTTGGAGACCTCTACTCTATAGAGAGAACCTTCAGATATATGATTAGGGAACCTTCAGATCAGGGGTGAAATTCAGCAGGTTCTGACAGGTTCTGGAGAACCGGTAGTGGAAATTTTGAGCAGTTCGGAGAACCCGTAGCGAAAATTTTGAGTAGTTTGGAGAACTGGTAGTGGAAATTTTGAGTAGTTTGGAAAACCGGCAAATACCACCTCTGGCTGGTCCCAGAGTGGGGTGGGAATGGAGATTTTGCAGTATCCTTCCCCTGCCACGCCCACCAAGCCACGCCCACCAAGCCATACTACACCCACCAAGCCATGCCCACAGAACTGGTAGTAAAAAAAATTGGATTTTTTTAATCCAAAAAAAATAATAAATAAATCAGATTTTCACCACTGCTTCAGATATATGATTCCAAACCATAAGAACTATGAGCTCAATTAAAAGACTTAGCAAAATTTGCTATGGTTTGATTGTCTATTTTTGTCAAAGGAAAGAAAAGAGAACATTTCTGCAACCTATAACCTATTTCATGAAACATACAAAACCTCAAATATTTGTATAATCAAGAAAAGATGCAATATATTGTATCAATACAGACCTGATCCCGTTGCCAGATTCGTTTGTAAACATATTCTGGGAAAGGGTCACAAGGAACGTATCTCCCCTCTCCTGCTTTGATATGAAAGGTTCCACTTTGAAAAGCCACTTTGCCTCGTAAAATTGTCACAAGGGGAACTCCATGGCAGAGCATTCCTTCAAATATATTAAAATCATTGGCCTGGTGATGTGTCTTTGCTGAAATGGTCCTGCGTTTGAAAGAAGAACAAGTGATACCAGCTCTTATTTTGGGTCTTCTATTTTAATTCAGAATTTAAACCTCCTGAGAACTTTTCAAAGCTCAAAACAAACAAGCAAGCAAACAAACAAAAACAACAATGGAGCAATCTCAAAAACACTCCTTTCGAAATTCCACTGAAGCAGACAGAATTATAAGTAAGTTACAGTTTCAGACACAATCAATATTGATATTTATTATATGATTTTTATGTTTTTAATTGTACAGCTCCCAGAGTCAATCTGTGAGTGAGATAGGCAGTCTCTAAATTTGATATATTAATAAAAATAATTCAGAAATATTTTCCTATGGTGGGGAAATCTCTTCCCATTAATTCTCCCATTAATTCCCATAATGTTCTTTCTTTCTGCGCCAACTCAGAAAGCTCAAACTGCCCAAGGAGCTGCTGATCCAGTTCTACAGAGGAAATATTGAGTCTGTCATCTGCACCTCTATAACTGTCTGATGTGGTTCTGCAATCCAACAAGACAGACACAGACTTCAGAGGATAATAAGAACTGCAGAAAAAACAATTACTACCAACCTGCTTTCCATTGAGGACCTGTATATTGCACGAGTCAAAAAGAGGGCTGTGAAAATATTTACAGACCCCTCGCATCCTGGACATAAACTGTTTCAACTCCTACCCTCAAAACAATGCTATAGAGCACTGCACACCAGAACTACTAGACACAAGAACAGTTTTTTCCCGAACGCCATCACTCTGCTAAACAAATAATTCCCTCAACACTGTCAAACTAGTTATTAAGTCTACATTACTATTAATCTTCTCATTGTTCCTATCACCCATCTCCTCCCACTTATGGCTGTATAACTGTAACCTTATTGCTGGTATCCTTACGGTTTATACTGACCGTTTCCTAATATGATTTGATTGCTTATTTGTACCCTATGACTATCATTAAGGGTTGTATCTTATGAATCTTGACGAATGTATCTTTTCTTTTTGTGTACACTGAGAGTGTATGCACCAAGACAAATTCCTTGTGTGTCCAATCACACTTGGCCAATAAAGGATTCTATTCTATTCTATTCTATTTTGGAACTGTACCGCATGTCCTATGAACACTGAAGGGGCTTCTGTAGAAGAAACTTTCATGCCGTCCTTTTTGAGTATCACAGTTTGAAAGGAAAGAAACACTGAAATAGTAATATGGTTCATTGAATCACTGAAAACATTCAAATGGAAAAGCTTCAACACACTCAGAAAGAGTCTGAAAAATGGCTAAGGAACTGTTTGTCTGGAGCTCCTTAAATCAATGTTGGTGGAACTAAGTAAGAGTTATGAAAGCTGATAGGGAGAATAACTCAAAGATACAGGGAAAGCACACTGATTGAACAACTACCAATAAATTACTCAACATAGAATAATACAGAGAGTGAATGAGAAGGTATTCAAAGGATACGGGAGTGCAAATGGATTTGTTTCCTATAACTCCTATTGCAAACATCACTTGAAAATCAAGTTCAGCTTTGTATTTTCCCTTCAAATATTTTTTACTTCAGGTTTATCTCATAGAATTCCATAAGACATTTTGAAAATGCTTTCTAGCTGTTTTCATGGGATCTTTAATTCAGTGCATGCTTATGGATTGGTTTCAACCTAAATTATGTTGTGACTGAGGCATGCAAAACATTCATCATGTGGCCCGGCTTGTTTGATCATTCTGAACATATTTTGAGCTAGAATTACTTCCTTAATGGTTGAAACAACCATCTCAAACTTAGAAAACTTCCCCTAAAATAAGACATCCCCTGATAATAAGCCCAATCGGGCTTTTGAGTGCATGTGCTAAAATAAGCCCCTCCCCCTGAAAATAAGCCTTCCCCGAAATGAAAATATTTAAACGCATGTGCAGCCATTTCCTCTGGTTAGGGTTAGGGAGACAGAGCTGGAAATCAGGTAAGGCAGCAAGAGGAGCCCCATCTTGCTCCACACGCCCCAAAGTAATAAGACATCCCTGAAAATAAGGCCAAGCACTTATTTTGGGGTTCAAAAAAATATAAGACAGAGTCTTATTTTCGGGGAAACACTGTATTTTTTGCTTATCTGTGCTCGTGGTGGAAAGTTGCCTTGATATCTTAGAAAAAGGACCATAAAATGCAATTTGTGTTCATATTAACACATAGCTAAAATCAACAAATATTAAATGTGGCATAAATCCATGATCCCACAGTACACAGTTGAAAAATATTGAAGTGCTACTATAAATAAATCAGTGAAATAGAAACTCATCTAGGACAATACCAGGTGCTCTAACTTACCCATGTCCTTCAAGTTAGGTAAAGAAAGGTTTTGAGATAAAATCATAGCATTGGAAAGAATAATTAAGGTCACTGGTCCAACTCTCTGCTCATTGCAGGATAAAAACATCCTGAACAGATGGATGCCTAATCTCCACTTCATAGTTAGCATCTTTGCAACAAACCGGACAGGTATATTGATATATAAGGGATTGTCCATAGGGGTAATAATCTACAGGTGTATCATTTTTTTCTCATGACACCTATTCTAATTTATCCTCAATGGTGTTGTCCCTCACAAATCTGCACCCTCACTGCTTCAAATACAAATTTTTCATACAAATACAACTTCCTAACCCTGTTGAGTACAATATAATTCAAAGTGGTATTCTCGGTTTCACGAAGGAACAATGCTTTACATAAGAAGGGAAAATCCAGGTTAGGAATTTTAGAGGAACTGAGACACAACCAGCACAGATGACTCAGGGCATGATCAGCTTGTTCAATGAAGTAGAAAGAGCAAACTTCCCAAGATGAGGGTAGGGGACATACAGTATCCCCAAAATGAGGGTGAGGAATAAACATTGTCTCCAAGATCTTTACTTCTCACAAAGGATATTGGTAACCAGGAAAAGCTTGGTTTCTTTCTTTTCTTTAACTATATCAAACATGCAGGAATAAAAAAAAAATGCTTGCTTGAACCTGCCCATATTTGCAGACAAAAAAAATGGACAAAGCCCAAAGCCAGAAACCATGGATTATGCAAATACCTGGCTTTCTAACATCTACTACTTATTCTTTCATAGTTGCCAGTTATGCTTCATCTCATTCTAGAAATACAGCAGATGTCAGCCATTTAGGAAGGCCTCGAAAGCTTGGTTGTTCCCTCAGGCATTATTGCTAGGACACTAGAGAAATGTGTCCCTTGTACGTCAACTGTGTCTTTTGCAGTTGCTTCTATTTTTTGTTGTATTGAAAATTTGCTTTTGTTGTTTGCCACCGAGAGTTGCACTTTTACCCTGTTTCCCTGAAAATAAGACCTCTCCGGATAATAAGCCCATTCGGGCTTTTGAGTGCACACGCTAAAATAAGCCCTCCCTGAAAATAAGCCCCTCCAAATATTTAAACACATGCACAGCCGGTCCCTAGCATTTCCTCTTGTTAGGGTTAGGGAGACAGAGCTGGAAATCAGGTAACATGGCAAGAGGAGCCCCGTCTTGCTTCACGCACCCCAAAATAAGACATCCCCAAAAATAAGGCCAAGCGCTTATTTTGGGGTTCAAAAAAATATAAGACTGGGTCTTATTTTTGGGGAAATACGATATTAGTCAGGGTGCATATATAAATCTTTAAAATAAATTTAATAAATAAATGTACCTTCAAATCAGATATTGCATTTTGGCAAACTACCACTACCCAGAATTATACAAGTAGTCCTCAATGTAGAACTGATGGCTTACTATCCATTCAAAGTTACAACAGAACTCCCCACCCCCCAAAAAACTGGTATTTACAACCTGGTTCCAAAATTCTGACAGCCAGCTCCCCCTGCAGTCATGTGACTGCATTTTGGGCACTTGGCAAGCAACCCTAATTTAGGGCTGTTTGCAGAGTCCCATGGTGCCATGACTGCAATTTACAACATTTTTGCTGCCAGTTTCTGGCAAAAATGCTCTGTAGCAAACATTTCGCTTAATGACCACAGCTTGGCTTAATGAGTGCCGCATTTGCTTTACAACTGCCATGTTTGCTTAATAACCACCACAAAAAAAAATGGTTATAAGCAGTGGTGGGATTCAAGTAATTTAACAACCGGTTCTCTGCCCTAATGATTTCTTTCAACAACCAGTTTGCCAAATTGCTCAGCAAATTAACAACCAGTTCTTCCGAAGTGGTGCGAACTGGCTGAATCCCACCACTGGTTATAAGATGGCGTCAGTCACAGGATGACCTGCTTAACCACTGTCACAATTTATGACTGTAATAGCAAGCTCAATTAGAGCCATAAGTTGAGAACAATCTGTAGATTCTACTGCCCAAGATTTCCCTGCTGTAATGAGATGCAGGGTATATTTAAAATTATAGCAATACAGTGCATTCTTTCCGAATTAACATCTCTGTCTATAAATTAACTCTGAAAGTTTTACACCACTCTGTGTTCTCTTTCCTTTGGTGATACCTTCCCCCCTTCAAACGATAATGCAGAAGTAGAAACACTTTTTATAGGAGATGATCCTAATTTCACAAACAATCAGCATTCAGGGTCAGAGTCATCTCTTGGAACACCACTTATAGACTCCTTCAGGCCTAAAGAGGTAAAAGAACATGAACAGTCTTCTCTTATATCCATCAAAGCTGACAGCGGTTCCAAGCCAGCTCAATAAAATGAAGCAAAACAAAACAAATAAAAAATGCAGTAGTTCGAAAATGCAATTTCCCTGAGCAAAACTAATTTACTCTCAGCACCACGAACTTGCCCAGATCAAACAGGGTGCTTCGAAGGCAGGCTGAAGGTCACAGTAATATTAACTTTACAAACTGTTACTAGAATCCTAAGGTTTCCAATCGGGAACCAGAGACAAAATGCAGGAACAGAAACTTGACACAAAACAGAAAATTCAGGGCTTGTTGGGGCAGCAGGTGAAGTCAGACACACCTCTCCAATTCACTGAAATGATAACTTTTATATGCCAAATACAGACCTGTTATTTGGCTGAAGATCAGGGATTCTATTAGCCCAGTTCAGAAAAGCAGAAGTTGCATTAGTCTTGCCATACTTAACCATCTTACCAAACTACCACCTATTTAATGCTGCACCTTCTATCTTGCAGATTTTAATCATATCCTCCAGAGAGACCCTTGAGGTTCTGTTTTAAACTCATTCACGCTCTGTAAGATATTTAGCAGCAGACTAAATAGCCACAACCTTTAGGCATGACATACCTTCTCTATCCAGCAAACCCACATTCCCAGAACACAAATTTATGCAACATTTTCCTTTTGAATGTCTATAACAGAGCCTGGAATTACAGTCATAAGTTATAGCCAAAGCATGTAGACTTACAGAGCATTTAGCCCCATAGCACTTTACAGCACTCTCTGGACAGTTTATAATATAAGTATTATTTGCATATTGCCCCCAATCTGGCTTCTCTTTTTACCGACCTCAGATGGATGAAAGGCTAAGTTAACCTAGGCTGTGGGTAAAGTTTGCCTGCAATACTGCATTCTAACCACTGTGCCACCAGAGCATAATACCACTATGCATCACTATGTGATTGCATCTGATTTTACATCCTGTTTTGTTTGGTTCATTAAATTAATGCCATGACATTAAGTAAATGTGATATTCACAAAGCAAACCCATTTTAGCCAATGGGTGCTTTTTACGGGAAACTGGAAGTAAATACCAGTTTGGGGCAAAAAACATAATAAATGACCACAGGATGCTGCAAATGGCCATAAATGTGGGCTGTTTGCCAACTGCTCAAAATGTGATTATGTGGCCGCAATGTGGGAGGGCAGCTGTTGTAACTTTGAAACCAGATTGTAAGTAGCACTGGGGAAGTTTGTCATAGCTTCAAACAGTTGCTAAACGGCCAGTCATAAGTGAAGGACTACCTGTAATAAATCAGGAACATCTTCAGGATGAATAAAAAAGGCAAGATGGTGGACATGTACAAATATAGGATGTAACTGAAGACAAATGCCAAACAATTATTTTAATTTATCCAGGTTATAAATTTATAACAGTAAATTAAAAATAAATAAAATACATCCAGTGTTGTTCTATGTATAACACTGAAGTGTATCTATCTGCTGTGAATGAGAGCATTTGGTATTCAGCATATATTTGGTATGACTTTTATGATGGACATCCTTTCATAACAGCCTTTTGTTATTTTTCATCCACTTTTACACTTATCATTAAAATAGATTTCCAGCAAGCACTAAAGTTCAAGCCAAAATAATACCTTAACACCCTCATGCTTTTTATTATTATAAATTATTTTTAAAAAGTTAAAGGGCAAGTTCATCATATTAAGCATGTCATTTTTGTTTTATGCTGTCACAGAAGAAAAACAATGATGATTAAAAAGAAGCTAGCCTGGAAAGTAGGCTATTCAGAACTAAAAGTTAATAAAAGAAATTCATAAAATATTGTATGTTGATAGGGTCCACTAAGCAATTTATGTTAAATTGTAACAGCAGGAAAATGCTTTGCCATTGTCTTGCAATCCCAGAACTCTCTAATGCTGTGATTTAAAACTAAGTAATAATAATAACCAAGCCAAAGCAAAATTAATTTTTGACTGCAGATAAAATTGGCCTGATCTGTCACCTGCTATCTGGTACATGATCTCAAAATCCAGTTCTTCAAAAAAAAAAAAAGTAAAGAAAATAGGGAAAAACAAGTCTTGTAGGATCCAATCTGGGTCAGTCACTGAGACCAGAAGTTTAGCCTTCTGAGCTGGTCTTGATGACTGGCCCAGATTGGATCCTGCAACATTAGTACACTGAGAGTGTATGCACCAAGACAAATTCCTTGTGTGTCCAATCACACTTGGCCAATAAAGAATTCTATTCTATCTATTCTATTCTTCTCCCAGATGAAGCTCTACAGATGCCCTAGACCTCATTCCTAGTGTTTATGCTTGCTGTAAATATGGAATTAGACTGCCTAATCTTGAAGGTGCCAAGTTGAAGGAGGCTGGGACATTATGACTATGAAATTCATCCAGGCTGTTTGCTGGTGTCACAACAGTGAATAATGCTAGAATTTAAGGAGGAAAGTATAATTATCTGCTATATCCTCAGGGAAGAGAACACTGCCATTTTAAATTTATGGTTTCAGAAAAGATATAAAATGAGTTGGAAAAACAAATAAACCTTGAGTGCATTGTTGAAAAGTTGGGAGGATTAAACTACTTTGACTTACAAGTTGATTCTGGAAAACAAAACAGGATTTATAGATTTATTTACAGTATGCCCAGATAAATTGATAAGGCATTACGTTAGCCCTCTTCAATCTGGTGTCCTCCTGTTGTATTGAGTCAATGATTCCCAGACTGTCTTAGTATAGCCTTTGTGTCCTAAGTCCTTTTAATGCAGAACTGAGGCCATGCCTCAGTCTTTCTCAACCTACTGTACTCAGAATGGCTTCCAAAACTCCCTAACCAGTATGACTGGGGAATTCCAGAATTTTCAACTGCAATAGAGATAGGTTGCATCAGGTTGAGAAAGGATTATATTCTTTTATGGTTTCGAGAAACATTTCCCCCTAGGTTTGATATTTGGGATCTGTTGCCTGGAATTGGCAGAGATTAAAGACAGGATCTTGTATACAAATCAAGCGCACACCATTTTCTTTGAATGTCTGGATTATTGCTCAAAGATGCAAAACGGGTCTGTCAATAGCGTGTAGTTTCACTTGGTACGTGTTTTGTCATCCCTCACCTGATGTCCTCCAGATATACTGGATTTCAACTATCATAATCCCCAACAATATAAATGGAATGCAACAGACTACAGCCATTATTTAATTTAGTGTAATTTATTCAATTTCTGTACCTGCCCATCTCAATCAAATTAAAAATATATAATACAATTACAATTAAAAATATATAATACAATTACAATTAAAAATATATAATACAATAAAAGCAATAAAAACATTTTAAAACAGTAAAACAATAAAAAAACTAAATGAAATATTTACCCCAAATAAAGAAATATTTATTTCATTTATTAATCAATTATATATCAGTTCAACTCAGCTCCATACAGTTGCCCTGACTCTACCCCAAATTAAGAGATTACAGGGTCGTAAAAAGGGAGTTTTATATAAGGGAATTGCTATTTTTCTGTCTGATTAGCAGTTCAGACAGATTTCTTTTAAAAAAAAAAGTTCCTACTAGACCAATGGTTCCCAACGTGGGGCTCAAGCCCCACAGGGGTGCAATTTGATTTTTAATGGGAGCAATTAGAACCTTGTTTAAACCAAGTTAATTTATTTATTTATTTATTTATTACGATTTATATGCCGCCTTTCTCCCTAGGGACTCAAGGCGGCTTACAAAATGACAACTTCAATACAAATCACAATACAATACCAAATTAAAATCAGTAACCCAATTAAAAAACAATTTAAAATTATACCAGTGTACCCCCAAACGGATCAGTTTAATTGGCGGAAGAGCCACGTCTTCAGCTCGCGACGGAAGGAAAGAAGGTTGGGGCCTTTTAGGCTTTCTCCTCGTGAGTAGAGTTGAGTAAAGTAAGAATCATATGTCACGGGGGGGGGCATCAGGATTTTAGAGATGCTTAGGTGGGACATGGCCAAAAAAAGGTTGGGAACCACTGTACTAGACATAGTCCTCTGCACAGATGCGCTGAGCCTAGGACCAACTATCTTGCAAATAGTTCAAATCAAATGTCTTCTGTTCACCAGAATTTATTTCTTAAAAATTATTCTTCCTTTACCCAGAGATATGATGGACAAATGGATAGGTCAGATCTTACCTTGTAGCTTTGGGGTCCCAAATGACAATGTCAGCATCAGAGCCCACAGCTATTCTTCCCTTCTTTGGGTATATGTTAAAGATTTTAGCTGCATTCGTGCTAGTAACGGCTACAAATCTGTTTTCATCCATTTTGCCACTATGCTGTAAAACAGTGTGGGTGGATTCTTATTAAAAACATATGAAGAAGGCAAAATATTCATAAGCTTAGTGCAGGCGAACCCCATTTTATCGTTGGATATGAGATGGGGGGCAAATAAATGTTATACAGGTAGTCCTCGAGTTACAACCACAACTGAGCCCAAAATTTCTGTTGCTAAGTGAGAATTTGTTAAGTGAGTTTTGCTCCATTTTACGACCTTTCTTGCCACAGTTAAGTGAATCAGGCTTCCCCATTGACTTTGCTTGTCAGAAGGTCACAAAAGGGATCACAGGATCCTGGAACACTGCAACTGTCATAAATATGAGTCAGTTGCCAAGCATCTGAATTTTGACCACGTAACCATGCAGATGCTACAATGGTAGTAAGTGTGAAAAAAGGTCATAAGTCCCTTTTTCCAGTGCCATTGTAACTTCAAGTGGTCACTAAATGAATTGTTGTAAGTTAAGGACTCCCTGTATATAAATAATAAATAATAAACTTTCCGATCTGGAGAAAATAATTCCTATATAACAAAGGTACTGTACCAGCAGATGTGTTATTCAGCCGGTTCAGACCAGTTCACCCGAACCGGTAGCAGAAATTATGAGTGGGTCCACCCAACTGCCCTGGTTCTATGCCATCCTATTTGGCACATTTTTGAGGCCGGGCGCATGCGCGGAAGGCACGTGCCCTGTCCACATGTGCATGCGCGCTCACATTTGCGAACCGGTAGGGAAAATAAGTGAATACCACTTCTGTGTACCAGGACTTTCACAGTGGGGTGGGGGTGGGGTGTCACAAAAAAAAGTAAAGATGGCAGACATAACCAAGCAATCAGGACCCCACTCATTTTTATATACATTTGTGTATTTGTGGCTGCCATTTTGAAATTTTTAATACCACCCTTGCGTGGATCATCTGGTCCTAGACAGAATATTTCAAGACATAAAATTTCAACTCCCAACAGCTAATCAAAAACATAGCACCAAGGTAATAATTTTCTGAAGAGAAACTCGTAGTTTGGAAACAGGTCCAAATTTATAACCTGGATAAATTAAAATAATTGTTTGGTATTTGGCTTCAGGGAAATTAAACAGGCTAATACCGTACATGAAACGACTACACATTCTTAAAATTCATACAGCTTATCACTATAATAACTCTGAAGAAGGAGCCCAATAAATAAATAAAACCAAAAAAAGGAGAAAATATAGAGAAAGGAAGTGCAGCAATCAGCAAAACTGAATATGTATATTATGGATAAAATTCCTATCTAAACAGAAAGCTGGCCTAAATGAATTGCTAAGGTTCTAAATTTGATGGATATTAATATAAATTGCTTCAATAATTTTGCGTGTGCTGTCAAGAAAGCTCTCAGAGGTCGCCATTTGTTAAAAGGTGGAACAGGTGCAAATCAAGTACTAGATTATTTGCAAATGTAGCAATCCTATGCATATTTAAAGTAAACAACTCATATAGGAACTCATTTCCAAGCTGGTAAAAACGTTTTTACTCTTCTGCTACGGAACTGATTTGGTTTTTGAAGAATAACTTTCTGTAGTATAAATTCTTTTGCTGCAAAGAAAGATGTTAATGGGACAAGAGTAAAGACATCAAATAAATGAATCCTTTATAACCCCCATAAAGGTCCCAATCCAGAGTGAGTTCCTATGCCTATTTTAGAAATCTTCTTCATGTCCTTGTATACCTATACCCGAGTAGCATTAGTAGACAATGATCTAATTCAGTGATGTTAACCTTTTTGGTGCCGAGTGGCCAAAGTGCACGCAAATACACGCATGCGTGCCCCAATCCCCAAAATGCAATGCAAGCACCCCCATTCATGTACCCCGTGCATGTGTGTACGTTTCCTGTGCATGCGCCCCTGCGCATGTGCCCGGCCTCCTGGCCCCCATTTTGGCTTCCAGGTTGGTCCAGGAGGCTTTTCAGGCCCAAAACGGAGCACAGAGGGGCACCTCACAATCTCCGCAGTTTCTTTTCCCCCCCACGCCCCCCAGGCTTTCTCCATCATTCCTGCCGCCGTGCCTTCTCCAATCTGCATAGTTTCTCTCCCTCCCCCAGCGCACCCAGGCTTTCTCCTCCATTTCTGCCACGGAGAGGCACCTGCGGAGGGTGGAACCTGCGGAGATCGGGGAAAGCACGGGAGGCAGAAATAGAGGAGAAAGCCTGGGCGTCTGGGGGAGAAACTGTGCAGATTGGGAAAGGCATGGGTAACAGGAATGCAGGAGAAAGGTAGGGCGCTCTGGGGGGGAAACTGCGGAGATTGGTGAAGGCCCCACCCTGCGCGGCAGAGACCTGAAGACCAGCTGGCTGGCGGGAGGTGTGCATGCATGTGTGGTGGAGCTGGGCTAGGGTGACAGCTGTTGTGCCCGCAGAGAGGGCTCTGTGTACCACTTGTGGCACGCATGCCATAGATTCACCATCATGGATCTAGTTATTTAGAATATTTTATCCTTCTTGTTTTCTTAAAAGGTATTCAGAGTGACTTAGCTTGATCTAGCTAGATATTAAGGATTAAGGATGGACATATGATAGAAATATACTCAAGCATCTAAGACAAACATTTATATTAACCCCAGATCCTTGAATTTAAGTAAAATTCACTCCCCCGCCCCCACAACAATAGGGCTCAAATAAAGTTCTAATGTTCTTTCCAGGCAGCTAATTCTACAATTTACCTGCCATAGTCTGGATCATTTCCAGATGCTATCCAGTATCAAGAGCAACCCAGAGCAATTTATATAGTCAAATCAGAAATATTACTAAAATAAGTACAGTAACAAGACTTTTATCTTCCAGGAAAGAGAAATCAATGATAATATATCTATTCAAGCCATACCTTTGAAAGAATTTAGTTTAGATAGGAAAGCTAGAGAAAGGAACAACCATTTTTGAGAGTGCATGCATTATTGTGCACGCTTTAGATTTAAAGGGAAAAATATTTTAGTGCACACAGAGGATACTCATGAAGCACCTTTCTGCATCTCAGGTTAAGTATGTCTTTTGCTGGGGCTTCACTGGTAGCTGAAATGGCGAGCATGCAATTCTAGGGAAAGATGTAGCTGCTTTAATGAGAACTCTTTGTTCTTTGTTTTCAGCATTATATTAGAACCGTAATGGCGAACCTATGGCACGTGTACCAGAGGTAGCACGTACACCCCTCTCTGTGGACATGTGAGCCATCGCCAGCTGCTCTTCTGGTTTCCAGCGTGTGCATTTGCACCAGCCAGCTGGTCTTCACAGGCACTGGAGCACAGGAAAACGGCTTGAAAATGGCCAAAAAACAGACAGTTTTTGGGAGGGTTATCTAGGCTGTTTTCTGGGCCATTTTCAGGCTGTTTTTCAGCCGTTTTTGGGCCGTTTTTCAGGGCAAAAATGGCCCAGAAAAAGGCCTGAACAATGGCCTGAAAATGATTAAAAAACAGGCATGCGTGCGCCAGCCAGCTGGTCTTTGGGTTTCCGGTGCTCTGGCATGTGCAAAGACCATCTGGCCAGCGTGTATGCATGTGCCGCAAACCCAAAGACCAGCTGGACAGCGCGCGCATGCGCACCGGCCAGCTGATCTTCGGGTTTCTGGCGCTCTGGCATGTGCACATGCACACACATTTTGGTTTGGGCACTCGGTGACGAAAAGGTTCACCATCACTGTATTAGAGAATGAATTGAAATCCTACTTACCACTCCTTTTTCCCAGATCACAGACATCCTGTCTTCCACTCCATTCACTCCATTTGGGATCTTTGTGAAATTATTTTTTCCTATAGCCTTCTGGCAGATATCATATGTACAGTTATCTGTTCCCGTCACAGTCAAGTCACCACTTAAAAAAAAATAAGGTAAAAGAAATACTACTATTGAAGTGGCATAAAGGGCGAGATAATTTTATATGCCCCAACCAACCTTCCATTTCAGAATTATACATCCTACTTGCTTCATTGTTTAAATCTTAAAAAACATTAAAGTAAGAAAGAAATTTGCTGAAAAATGGTAAGAAAAAAAAAAAGAATCACCTGTAAAGAAATCACATCACCTTCAGGTAAAACCAATAAAACCCTGGTGAATGCTGACATTTGTGACAATAATAGCTTGTATTCGACCATAACTCCAAATTAGATGGAACAATGTCATAAGAGCAGTGAAAATAAAGTTGTGCTAGAACAAGACAAATGTTCTGTTCAACCACATCAGGAAGCTCCTAAGATCTTGATAGCCCTCATTTATTGCTTCCCAAAGATGATATTGCTCCCTAGTGATACTAGGATCATTATTCTACTGTAGATTCTGGAAGTACAGGTAGTCCTTAACTTACAACAGTTCATTTAGTGTTCAAAGTTACAATGGCACTGAAAAAACACTTATGACCGTTTTTACACTTACGACCAGGGGTGCTATTCAGCAGGTTCTGACAGGTTCTGGAGAACCGGTAGCGGAAATTTTGAGTAGTTCAGACAACCGGCAAATACCACCTCTGGCTGGCCCCAGAGTGGGGTGGAAATGGAGATTTTGCAATATCCTTCCCCCAGGAGTGGGGAGGAAATGGGGATTTTGCAGTATCTTTCCCCTGCCACGCCCACCAAGCTACGTCCACATAATTGGTAGTAAAAAAAATTGAATTCCACCACTGCTTATGACCATTGCAGCATCCCTATGGTCGGGTGATCAAAATTCAGACGCTTGGCAAATGAATCGTATTTATGATGGTTGCAGTGTGCCGGGGTCATATGATCACTTTTTGTGACCTTCTGGCAAGCAAAGTCAGATTTACAACAGTGTTACTAACTTGATGACTGCAGTGATTCACTTAACAACTGTGGCAAGAAAAGTCATCAAATGGGGCAAAACTCACTGAACTGTCTCGTTTAGCAACATAAATTTGGGTCTCGGTTGTGTGGTCGTGAGTCGAGGACTACCTGTACTATTTCAGTGGGTTGAGGCTTAGATTCCTTTCATTAACCAATGAAAGGAAACCTGGAATGCTGCAGTATAAAGAGTATTAGTGCTTTGGAGCCACATAATCCTTTCAGGAAATAGAAATGGTAGGTGGCTGCAGTCCAATGCTTTCTTTGGAAGCCTTCCAAATATTTGGAAATTGACCAAGACAAGCTGGACAAATTAGGAGGATAGTGGAGTTGGGCTAAAAGAGGAGAGAAGGATGAAGAAAGCAACCTATTGAAATTGGCTCCTAGTAAACAGAGACTTATTACAATATGGCCATCAAGAGGGCAATAGCTCACCAAGGGGCTGATGTTGAAAAGCTAAGTAGGGTTAGACCTGGTTATTATCTGCCTGGAATGCCATAAAGAAATACCTGAATTGAGGTTAGATGGGAAGTTGAAAAACATCTCAGGATATAGCAGTGGCAAATCATTTGTATAGCTTTGCTAAGTAAACAACACGGATGTGTCTCTAAGGTCAAGCTTGACTCAAAGGACCCTTTCATTTTTATCTTTGGGATGGGAGAAGCTTCCCTTCCAAAATCAGCTATTTTCTGAGAGGGTCTATGATACCCTCTCAAAATAAGCTGCGTGATTTCTGTTCAATATTTAGCTGTTTCCAAGCAAACTGGGAATACCATACTGTAAATGACAAATATACATATATCAGAACCTTAATTATTTCTCCCAGAAGGAATATTAGAACTCCTCTCCATATTATTTTACATTTTCCCTTCAAAATGCATTGAAACACATTACCCTATTTTGCATTTTTGTTTATGCTGGCTTTAACAGCCACTTAGGATCCTTCTATTAAAGGGCTCTTGTGAATGATGAACCTCCTTACTTTGCTAGAAGATTCATGAGGAAGTCTGGAGTGGAAGGATCAGGCCTCAATGGAGGAGCCATGACGTGAGCTGCTGCATGTGGCCAGTCCTTATGCCAATAGTGAGTGCCATCTGTACCAAGGCTTGCAGCTATAGGCTCGCCATACACAACTTTGCCTAGGGAGAGAAGAATGAGGCAAATTAATGGTAAGAAGAACAAAGCTAGTAATACTAACTTGCAATTCCACATCAAAGGATTGGATCAGGTATAATATAGTCAATGCATGTAACCTAAGTGTAACCATCCCAATTAGTGGATGAGCAGATGTCTGGGGTGGGGGGGGAGAGAAACTAATGATGGAGTGGGCAAGTTTTGGGGAACATGTGTACACTCCCTCCCCAGCTTTTCTGTGGTCACTGAAGCTTGCTACAGAAACTATTATTTATTGTAAATCATGTCAATAATTGTAGGCACAGACTGATCTTTCAAGTATGGTAGACATAACATAAAAATGTTGGAATCAGTCCATGTAGAAAAAAATGAGGCAAATTTTTGATGATGAAGGTTTAGAAAAGATGATGGGAAGTTAATATTACATTGTGGTTCAGATAATTTAAAAGAAGGATTGATGCCTCTCCTCTTACGCAAAATAATGAAGAAAAATGACCAGATAGACCAACATTTAGTAGCAAAGTGCCAAGGAATATGATAGACTTTGGCATACTTCTTATTGATCTCTCTCTCACATACATTTCTCTGAAGGAAACCCTAATTCCACTTATATTAAAATTGCCAAGGTTGAGAAACAATACTCTAGGGGTGTCAAACTCAAAGCGCTTAGATCTGGCCAGTGGGGCCACCCTGGAAACAGTGAAGGAGCGGCCCGCGGTGCCTCTGCCAGTGAAAATGGAGCTTGGGAGGGCTGTACACAGCTCAGTTTGTGGCTGCGCTGACCTCCTGCAACCCTCTGCATGCAACCGTCTCAAGCTCCGTTTTCGCTGACAGAGGTGAAAACCACAGGCACCCCTGACACAAATGACATCGAGCTGGCCATGCCCACCCAGCCCCCCAAGGTCAAAAACAACCCTGATGTGGCCCTCAATCAGTAGTGGGTTTCAAAAATTTTTACTACTGGTTCTGTGGGTGTGGCTTGGTGGGCGTGGCATGGCTTGGTCGGTGTGGCTTGGTGGGCATAGCAGGGGAAGGATACTGTAAAATCTCTATTCCCATCCCATTCTAGGGGGAGGATACTGCAAAATCCCCATTCCCTCCCCAATCCAGGGGAAGGTTACTGCAAAATCCCCATTTCCTGATGAACAGCTGGGACTTGGGAGACCGAGAATAGATGGAGGCGGGCCAGCCAGAATTTTTACTACCGGTTCTCCAAACTACTCAAAATTTCTGCTACCGGTTCTCCAGAACTGGTCAGAACCTGCTGAAACCCACCTCTGCCCTCAATGAAATCGAGTTTGACACCCCTGCTCTAGAGGAAAGGTAGCATTTCCTCTAGAGCATAATAATAATAATAATAATCATCATCATCATCATCATCATCATCATCATCATCATCATCTACTAATATAGAATCAGTAATTGGACTGCAACATCAACTGTTAATTAGAGGAACTACTACAATTTACCACTGATTAATTGTGATCATTCTCATCCTTCCTTGTCTCCTGAATGATCTTTATACTAATAATCACACATTTTAAAAAATCTATATTTTTGTTCTAAGTGTTTTTAAGGCTACTGGTTACAACTATGCAATAAGAGATAACATTACATGTTCGTGTGCAGCCGCCCACCATCTGCAGAATCTTTAAATCAATATTGTTGAGATATCTCTGCCCATCTATTTTTGACAGAGAGATCAAACAAACAAAATAACCATTGAGGATATAAAGGCAAAAGCTTTGGGGCCAGCTGAAGATGCTGCTGCTTTATATAGGTTTAGAGGGAAATGCTAAGAATGTTCACTCAATAGCTGATACTCATTTAAAAACTTCGCAAACTGTATTTCGTATTATTTATCTCAGGACTGCTTACTATGCAAATTGAAGTGAAACAAAACCATAACATTTATCATAAAAAATAAAACCACAAAAAGAATTTAAATTCAAATTAAAACAGCCCTTTGAAAACTTGATATTTGAATCCCAGGCTATTGAAGGCTAAGAAAATTGAAGACAATCCATCCAGGACAGATTTTGCAAAATTGACAGCATAGTTTCCCAAAGAGCCAACTCAGTAAAAATTTGACTGCTATATTTTGAACTGTGATTGTAGTTACATATTTGAACTATAATTGTCATCAAAAACACCTCTAGATCTATGTACAATAGATTACGGTGTACAGATTACTGTACTACCATACTGAGGTTACATAGAGAATTAGTTGGCAGCAAAAAAACACAGAAAGCTAACCTTTTGATGTGATTTTTTTTTGCCAGATGTTGTACAGGAAAAAAAATAGAACCAGTTTGATCTGGAACTTAAGGCACAAGGCAGGGAACTGCGAGATTGTGAATTCTAGTCCCACCTTTGGCATGAAGGCCAACTGGGCCAGTCATTCTCTCTCAGCCCACAGCTTTAGGCTTGGAAGAAAAGCCAGTTGGCCAATTCCTGTTGCAACTAATAGATCAATACTTCGTTGACTCAAAAAAAGTGGATGCTAGGAAGAAAAAAGGTGAGATGTCATAGAACTTGAAAACCTGAATGCAAGGTTTTATAATTCTTGCCATCTGCAGCTTTTATCCTAAAACAGAGATTCCTCCTATTGTTTCCCATTAGATGGCTAGTTCAGCCGTTCCCAAATGGTGATAACTGGCAGGGCTACTGCAAATGATTTGAGATGGGTAGGCGATAAGAACAGCATCCAGTGAGCTTCCTATATATCATACTTATAGATAGTAAGGAAAGTGATATGGATGGAGATGTGCAGAATCATTACCTGCACAAAAGAGGCTGAAACATATTTAAAATCCAGAACAGTGAGATAATATTCAGAAGCAATCAATGCAGAGGCTTCCTTAATTCCCTGAACTGTTAGATAGAAGAAGAAGAATAACACAATATAGGAGCTGTGGTGGTGCAGTGATTATAATGCAGTATTATTGCAGGCTAACTCTGTCTATTGCCAGGAGTTCAATCCTGACTGACTCAAGATTGCCTTCCATCCTTCTGAGGTCAGTAAAATGAGGACCCAGATTGTTAGGCGCAATACAGGGGTGGGTTCTACTTAACTTTACGACCGGTTCGCATCGTGCCTGCACGTGCGCGCTCTTCTGTGCATGCGCAGATCTACTTTGATGACATGCAGGTCAGTGGGCGGAGCCTCCCACCAGTTTTACTACCAGTTCTTGCAAACTGGTCTGAACCGGGGGCAACCCACCACTGGCGCAAGATGCTGACTCTGTAAACCACTGTGCTCTAAAGCACTATGAAGCGGTATATACGTCTAAATGCTATTGCTATAATCAGACTAGCAAGATTCTGTTATTATAGCCAATAAACATAGTTTTAGCCTTCCCGTGCAGTTGATTTCCTGCTTGGCTCATCTAGTGGAGCTGCCAATGCCTGAGGTTATCTGAATCCCAATGTAATTTTTCCTAGAAACTGCAGTAGTGAATGTACTGCACTGAATACAATATGTTTGAGAGTGGCCATAATAAATGCTTAGAAATAGCTGCAGTTTATTGCTTCTTAATGTACAAGTCTGACTCCTCTCAGCCAAATGTGTTTATGTGGTGTCTGCAAAAACATGTGATGATGATTAATGATTCACATTAAGGAGAAGGTTGGGAACCATTGGCTTAATTGATTAACAGCCCTATCATGTTGACTCCAAAATAAATGAAGTAGAGCAATGACATAATCCCAGACAATAATTTATACAAATGTAATTTGTATGATCGGATGAATGTTAAGAGATGTACATTAAATATATTCCACCTGGCCAGAACGCATATATAGCTCAATAGGGGTGATGAACAATACCATTAAACCTGTCTGGTCCCAGCTCAAAAAAGTTATTCAATAGCAGACATGGTTAAGAGTTGTCTAGTGTGGTCAGACTTAGTCATCTGGAAATCATTCTGGGAAAAGGCAATAGCAAATCTTCTTTATGGTTAAGATGTGGAAATGTTTATGTGGTCACCACATTATTCACTCTGATTATTTCCAGTTGTTAGATCATCTCCCTGCAAGGACACTATCTGAGGAAACAGGATCTATAATGTGTAAAAATTATATAAAATACTGAATTTAGAAAAAAAAGAATTCATTTCTGCAGGTGAGTTCTGTATTACAATGCTTTTCAACCTTGGCAAATTAAAGATGTGCGGATTTCACCTGTCAACTCAATACTATGAGTTGAAGTCCACACATCTTAAATTTGTCAAGGTAGAGAATGTATATATGTACATGATGAAGCACAAACACTCTAATCCTTACAGTTTGGAAGCTTCTGGATAGCCTTGGGAAATTTTGTTCTGACCTACATATTTTAGCTGATTATACAGTTTATTACACTTGATTCTGAAAACACCTCATTTTCCCACAAAAGATAGCGATTCCAACTGCAAAATAAATTCATTGCGTTGTCAACAGTGACATCTTGTGGACATCTTGGGGACAATGAAACCAGCCTAATAATAACGGGAAAAGGGACTCAGCTCAGCCTTATATTTAGGTTAATTAAATATTGATTAGTTACAGGGAAAAGAACTGAAGCCTAGACTGCAGAAGAAAGTAGAAATGTTCTTTAAACCCAGAGACAGACTCCATTTAGCTGAAGGATTAATCACAGAGAGCTTTGCAGTTTCATCCATAAGAAAATGCAATGTTTCATAGTCATATCTTCATGTAACCTGGACTCCAAATCTTGTCAAGCTTTTAATACAAGAACTTGAGTTCCTGAATATAAATCTAAGACATGTCTGAGAGCATATTCTGTAAACTCAGACAAAATGGCTGCCAGTGAAGGATAAAATGAGGATAAAATGGTGAGGTGGTTCTTTGTGAGAGTTTCTAGCCCTACAGGATGCATCCTCTTCTAGCGTTTACTTTCTACATTCCCCATCCCACTGGTACATTTACAGAAAAAAAATCCAAATACAAGAACTTCTAATTTTCATTTCATAAGAATATCTGCAGGTCTTATGTGGAAGCTGAGGACATTTTTCTAAATTAAGGTAAATAGTTGGGATCGCTTTGCAACTTGTCCATTTCTTTTTGTTTAATTAAAGACACTGTAAGGAGTGGGGGCAGGATGGAGGAATTAAAACTTGATAGGGCAATCAGCTAAACAACCTCCAATGGAGATGATTGTAGAATCATATTGGAACCCCAGGTCTAACCAAATAAGAATATTCAAGCATGTTTAGCAAGTACCTACCTTGCCTGCGGGCGTCTGCCACTATCTTGGCTGCAGACTTACTCATCACGTGTACAACATAGAGAGGGCAATTTACTGAGTTTGCAATGGTAATAGCTCTCAACGTGGCTTCTGCTTCCACTTCTTCTGGTCGGGCCATTTCATGTCCCTCTGGACCAGTTATTCCCAAAGCCAGCATCTTCTTTTCACCCTGTAGGCCAACCATGGTGAATACATGCCAGCGTTACTAACAGCAAAACTAAGAAATGAGATTCGGTCAACAAATCGCTGTAAAAATTACAGTCCCATTCATTTGCTTGCCATGGAACAGGAAGTTTTGGTCCAACAACCAAACTGATTATATCATGATACTTAGAACCCAGCAAACCAATTGCATTATATTGGACTCCTGATGCGAGAAACTACCTAGGGCCAAGCTACATGTTACATGAACAAGTGCAGAATTTTTCAGGCAAGGAAAAGTCGGAATGAACTTTTGCTAGTGTTGTTTGCAGGGATTGAATGTGTGTCAAATGAGTAGGTGTACCAAAGCATTGTTGCGCTATTGTGATGCAAACCCTACTCTTTTTGTATGGGCTGTCACACACAAACACATACACACACATATCCCAAAAGGGCAGAGCTTGCAGCTTGCTTCCATTATTTTGACAATATAGCTTTAGGTATATGATCCCCGCTGCATTCTCAACATTAATTTAAAATTTTCTGCCTTCCACTGAAGAAGAATTTTCTTTTAGTTCAATGAGAACATACAGGCTGGGAGAGATCACCTATGATTTCTCATAGATGAATATCACAGATGATATTCAGCATCCTAGTATAGAATAAAGATTATTTCTACCAGCTATTTATGGAGAACAAATTATGAGATTAGCTTTTGGTTTGATTTGGTTTGGTTCTTTCTGGATGTAAGTAAAGAAGGGAAGGTCAGTTATTGATATAAAAGGAAATAACTACACACTATAAAAATTCAATGACTTTAATGGGTACACACTTATTTCCTTTAAGGAATCAAGGAATAAAGTCATTATTCAATGGCTTTAACTAGCGGATCCCTTAAAGAAGTGGCATCTTTCTTTTTAAGGCTACGATGGACAACTGGAAAAAGAGAGACTGCTTTAATGGCTGATAGAGATGAAGTGCCTTTCTTAGGCTCCTAAATTCTTCGTCCAAATCATTTGCAAGGCATGAATATAATGGATGTATTTGTAACTGTTGAATGCTTAGTTTACATGCACATACATACATGTGTGACAGGTGCATGTAATGTAATTAGGGTGATTAAGGAGGATTTGTGTGTGTGTGAGTGAGTGTGTATTTCGCTCTTCTCCTTGGTTTCCTGTATTTTGGTCAAATCTGATGTAATACATTGTCAGGAAATTCTACCCATTGGATTTTTTTTATTGCTACATTTAGGCATCCAGAATGATGGAAGTTGTATAATAGAATATTGTAGGCCTGGCTCCATCAATAAAACAAGCTTGGAAATACACCTGAGAAATTCAAAAGAGATCCTGAGACATCCTGACTGTAAGTTGGAACAACAGAAGTTCTTTGCAGTAGAAGTCTTGAGAGGTTGCAAGGCAAACTGAGGCCATTGATATGTATAGGCCCCCTGATTGAATAAAACAAAGTGCAGATAGAAACTGGATTGCTTTTTTCAAGCAGACATAAATGCCCCAAAGGGAATAAGAAAGAACTTGGAAACACTGAAGTGGATCTAATGTGTCAGGTTTCTTTGCCCTTCCATCTCTTACTTCTAATAATATACATGTATGAGAGCCTACTTTTAGGGCGATGGAAATCTTGGATGCTCTGCTTTGATGGATGCCCCATCTCCAAGATCAAAATGATCAGAATGTATCTTTTCTGATTGCCTCGGTTGTCACTGGGCAAGACTGTGAGATCAATGCCTTATCAAACAACTTGTGGAGCTTCAATCAAGTAGTTGGAGACATCATCTCGACTTTTTAACACACACAATTCCCCCAGATGGTCCTGTGGTGTCCTAGGTGTTTTCTGAGCATGGCTGTTTTCTTGCAGACATTTCATTACCAAACCAGGTAACATCATCAATGTATTTTACCAATGTGCATTACCAAACTGCCTACAAGAAAACAACCAAGCTCAGAGAGCACCAAGAATCCCACAATTCAACCCTGTATATCATATATACTGTATATTATAATTGCAAGCAACTGAAGAGATCATCTTAAACATGGGAATTACCTCTGCAATCAAATCCCCATTCTCCGCATGGACTTGAGCAATTGCACCAATTTGTTTACAGTGACTGAAGATGGTGTGTAATTCTAGATCTCCAATCATATAGACATCTTTATATGCCATAAACATCTTAAATGAATTGATACCCTTTTCCTTGGTAAGAAGTTTCATTTCCTCTTTGACCTGATAAAAAAGTAAGAAAAATATTGTCACAAAACTAAATTTGTTCTATGCATAGTGCTGAAACTTTTTCTATGTTGATTTGTTGATATGTTGATTTTTTAAAAAAATCAACATATCTAGCTATGATCATTCCTGTTTCATCGTTACGCCCATAATCATTCTGGTAACAATTTTTCATTTAAAAATTATCTAGTATACTATAGTTGTAACTCTCCTTAATAAGGTAGAGAAAAGAAAGACTGCTCCACTGATTGTAGAAGGAGTTCCAAGAGTTATTAAAACTGTAATTACTGAGAAATTCAGTTTTAATTATAGGGAAAAAAAACTCACATGGGACATGTCATTCTTCCTGAATCAACCAATTATTAGTATCTTACATTGAATTAATCACCAGAAGGTATGTTGAAGGCTATAAGCTAAGATGGCTTTTAGGGGGATTAGACAAATTTAAGAGGAATAGATATATTTATTGAAACATTTCCTAAAACATTCGTATGATTAAGCACTGCCCTTTAGTGGGATTAATTATTTTTACAGTTGAAATCCCTTACATTTCTTGGAAATTTATCTGGGGTTATCCATGTGAAAATCAGTAAATGGGTGTTCCATAATGAGGTTTTTAAGAAAAGAATAGTATAGGGCAGTGATAGCTAACCTTTTCCGGACCGAGTGCCCAAAGCGTGCACCTGAATCCCCAAAATACAATGTGCATGTGGACCCCGCGCATGCACCCCACTCCCCGCAGGTGCACACGTGGTCCCTCGCATGCACCCCGCCCCCCCATGAATCCTGCGTGGGCCCCACATGCGCTTCACCCCATGCGCCAAGCCCCCCGTGCATGTGCAGGCACCCCCACATGTGCGCCCCACCCCTGGTCCTGCATGTGCCCCTCCCACATGTGCCCCACCCCCGAGCATGCATGCACCCCTCCCATGTGCACCCTACGCATATGCGGCAAAGACCCGAAGAACAGGTGGGAGGCATATGCCAAGGGTGCTTTTTTAGCAGGTTCTGACAGATTATGGAGAACTGGTAGCGGAAATTTTGAGTAGTTCGGAGAACTGGTAAATACCACCTTTGGCTGGCCCCAGAGTTGGGAATGGAGATTTTGCAATATCCTTCCCCTGCCACGCCCACCAAGCCATGCCCACAGAACTGGTAGAAAAAAAATTTGAATTCCACCACTGGCGCAGGTGCATGCATGGTGGAGCTGAGCTGGGGCAATGGCTTGTGTGCCCACAGAGAGGGTGCTACGTGCCACCTCTGGTACGTGTGCAATAGGTTCACCATCATGAGTATAGGGTCTTCTGCTTGAGCAGAGGGTTGGACTAGAAGACCTTCAAAGGACCCTTCAAACTTATTCTGTTAAGAGCATGCAGTTTTCATGAGAGACACGCTACACCAATTTGTAATCAACATTTCTGGGACAGATCATACCTTAATTTCAAACAACAATTATGGAAATGCATTTAACAATTTCCAAATGGATGAATTCCAGATGTTTTGGGATTGCAATATCCCATATGATCCAGGAAGGACTGCAATGATATTAAAGTGGGATATATGACCAGATGATCAAAGCCCTGTACTTGTTTATATGTTCTTGAGTTTCCAGGAACTGCTGGCTGAACAATCCCAGTAGATTTATTTATTTAAAAATTGCTGTTTATTTTCTAATCAACTCTTGGAGACTCCCAATTAAAAGTTAAAACAGCATATAAAACTATATTGAAACTGTAGAACTAAAAACATTATAAACAACAGAAACCTGGCGCCAAGTCCAACTTCTAATTTAGTTTTGTTATCCAATCTTATCCTGATATGTGGGGGGAAAAGCCAAGTCTTCAAAGCTTTATGGAAAGCTAGGAGGGTCGAGGTCTGCCAAACCTCAGGGGCAGTGGTGGGATTCAAATAATTTAACAACCGGTTCTCTGCCCTAATGACCAGCTGGGTAGGTGAGACTTGGTGGTCATGTGACTGGGTGGTCATGGCCAACTCAACATCACTCATGTCGATGGGTGCTTCGCCTTAGCTGTTATAATGTAATAAGGGTTAACCGTAGAGGCAGTTTCTGTAAGCAAGGTAATAAAGATTAGGCTAGAAACAACACCAGAATGTTTCCTTCCTGCCTTCCCTACAGGCTTAACCCTGTAAAGTGGAAAAAAACAAAAATGAGATTTCTTCCAACAACTGGTTCTCTGAACTGCTTAGAAAGTTAACAACCGGTTCTCCCAAATAGGTGCAGACTGGCTGAATCCCACCACTGCTCAGGGGGCAGAGTATTCCAAAGGGCAGGGGCTGTATTGGAAAAGGCCCACTTCCTAGCTGCCATGACATGGCAATATTTAGGGGCAGGGATTAGGAGCATGCCTGCCCCATCTCACCTGGTAGATTTCCTTAGGGAAAGGTAGCCCTGCAGGTGATTTATGCATAAACCATAAAAAGAAAGCCAGATTAGGAAAGGCCACCGAGACGTCTTCGGACAGAGCTGGCTCTTCGGCTTTGAAATGGAATGAGCACCGCCCCCTAGAGCTGGGAATGACTAGCACATATGTGTGAGGGGAACCTTTATGTTAGTTTAAAGCCAGGACTTTGTCTACATTATTAAACAATCCCAGGTTAGTACCCTGTGCAAATTAAAAACTCATTCTAGTTTTTGCAGCTCTTTGAACATCGCAATGTACTTCTCAGACCTCAAAGTATCCTAGCTGGCTAGGGAATTCTGGGAAATGAAGTCCACATATCTTGCTACGGTTGAGAAACACAGCCCTACACACTCAATAAACTGCCCTCAAGCTGAGCGAGTTGCACCTCTACGCTCCAGTTCTCATATTCTTGAGTCAGGGCAATGACTCTTGATACTTGTGCCCAGGAAAATGGCAAGCCTTTTGCTTCTGTGCCACTGGTACCATCTATGCTGCATGCTGGACTTCCTTAAAGAAGTGAATGTACAGCTGATGTTATGCCTACCATACCTGCTCACTGCACCACGTGACGATCATATGAAGCGCATAATCACAGCAGACTTTAGGATCAGCCCCGCTTCTCCATTGGTTATAGGCTTCAATGAGGGAACAGCCTTTCCGAGCGATTGCAAAGTCTATTATCATAGTAGTACCTCCTGCAAGGGCAGCCTGAAAAGGAGAGGTTGCAATTAAATATTTATTTTCTCACTGAGCAATATATAATATTAGAATTACAACAATTTAGAACTATTCCAACATGAAAGGAACCAGTCTATAAACTATGGGGGAAAATAGATTAATGACACAAAGCTATAATATTATTCACACACACACACACCGTGTTCCCCCGAAAATAAACTCTCCCCAAAAATATTTAAATGCATGCACAGCTGGTCCCTGCCATTTCCTCTGGTTAGGTTTAGGGAGACAGAGTTGGAAATCAGGTAAGACGGCAAGAGGAGCCCCGTCTTGCTCCATGTGACCCAAAATAATAAGACCTCCCCGAAAATAAGACCAGCACTTATTTAAGGGTTAAAAAAAAATATAAGACAGGATCTTATTTTCGGGGAAACATGGTAAGTATACATATAAATTTATGTCTATATTAAGAATATAAGCTCCCTTTTTTATGACCCTGTAATCACTTCATTCAGGGTAAAATTGTGTGGTATACACAATTTATGAAGTGTGATGGAAAGATAAAAATCAGAATTTTTAACACAATATAAATTCCCATAGAACTAAAATCATTACACATAAATCATATTAACATTAAAATATGTAAATCTATTATACAGTACACTAGAGTATTAAAAAAGTTAAAATCATACATGCAGTCAATTAAAAAAACAGCTAAAAAAAACCTTTTAAAAGTCTGAAAGACATGTAGAAGTAATCCTCGACTTACAACAGTTCATTTAGTGACTGTTCAAAGTTACTTTAAAAAGGGTTTTACAACCATTTTTCATACTTACGACCTTTGCAGCATCCCCTTGATCATGTGATCAAAATTCAGATACTTGGCAGCTGGTTCATACTTATGACCGTTGCTGTGTCCTGAGGTCATGTGATTCCCTTTTGCGACCTTTTGACAAGCAAAGTCAATGGGGAAGCCGGATTCACTTAACAACCGTGTTACCAACTTATCCACTGGAGTGATTCACTTAACAACTGTGGCAAGAAAGGTTGTAAAATGGGGCAAAACTCACTTAACAAATGTCTCACTTAACAACAGAAATGTTGGACACCATTGTGATTGTAAGTCAATGACTACCTGTAATAAGCCAACCTCCCTACCTTGAGGCAATAATCAATTTTTCACCAATCTTCCTAAAATCTGGAAAGGGACCGGTCACACATCTGGGGGCCGCTACTAAAATTGTAAGACTTAAAAGTATTTAAGGGGGATAACGAAGCACCTTCAATTGTACTCTAATACCCCAACTAAGTGGTGGCTCAGTGGCTAAGATGCTGAGCTTGTCGATCGAAAGGTCGGCAGTTCAGAGGTTCGAATACCTAGTGCCATGTAATGGGGTGAGCTCCCGTTACTTGTCCCAGCTTCTGCCAATTTAGCAGTTCAAAAGCACATAAAAAATGCAAGTAGAAAAATAGGGAAAGGAAGGTGGGAAGGTAACAGCGTTCTGTGCCCCTTTGGCGTTTAGTCATCGTGGCCACATGACCATGGAGACGTCTTCGGACAGCGCTGGCTCTTTGGCTTTGAAACGGAGTTGAGCACCGCCCCCTAAAGTTGGGAACGACTAGCACATATGTGCGAGGGGAACATTTACCTTTACCTTTACCCCAACTGCCAAGAGTGCAGCTTTGAACATTAGAGTATTATGTGGGGTCTTGAGATACAGGTAGCCCTTGAATTACAACTATTTGTTTAACGACTGTTTGAAGTTGGAATGAAATTGAAAAAATAATGACCACTTGTCCTCACACTTACGACAGTTGCAACATCCTGGGCTCAGGTGATTGCCATTTGTGACCTTTCTAGAAGCGAAGTCCATGGGGGGGCGGGGGGGACAGACACACATGCTGGATTCATTTAATAACTTCATGATTCACTTAACAGCTGCAGTGATTTGGGGGCAACTCATTTAACAACCGCCTGGCTTAGCAATGGAAATTCTGCTCACAATTGTGTTCTTATGTCAAGGGCTACCTGTATACCTATCACAATCTAAAGCCATTGCATTCTGGACCATGCTTTTATATGAATATACAGGTACATGTACATATAAAGGAGAATATTTGTAGCTCAGGGTTGACATGAGGGGTCCTTGGTGCTCCCTGAGCTTGCTTGTTTTCTTTACCCAAAATAGGTAACATCATCAGTACTAGTTAGGGCAGGAGTGTCAAACACAAGGCCCATGGGCCGGGTCCAGTCTGCGGGGTGCTTAGATCTGGCCCATGGGACCACCCTAGAAACAGTGAAGGACTGGTCCACGATGCCAGCAAAAACGGAGCTCTCTTTTCACTGGCAGAGGGTTGCAGGAGGCCGTCACAGCCAAAAGTGGAGCTCAGGAGCCCATTTTCGCTGGCTGAGCTCTCGGACAACCACAGATGTCCCCGACAAGAGTGACATCGACCTGGCCATGAGCACTCTGGCCACGCCCTCTACCCCAAGATCAAACACAACCCTGATGCGTCCCTCAATGAAATTGAGTTTTATACCCTTGAGTTAGGGTAATGAAACGCCTGCAAGAGAACAAGCAAATTCAGAGAGCACAAAGGACCCCTCATATATGTACATGTTCAAGACTACAGGTAGCCCAAAATTTATGTTGCTAAGCGAGACATTTGTTCAGTGAGTTTTGCCCCATTTTATGACCTGTCTTGCCATAATTGTTAAATGACTCATTGCCATTGATAAGGTTGTTGTCCAGTTGTTAAGTGAATCTGGCTTCTGTTGTGACCCAGGCCCAAGTAGGTAGTAATCGACGCAAACAGTTCCATAACAAACAGACTTTATTAGAACAGCTGAGAATGAGTTAATTCTCAGTAGTCCAAACTAAATTAAAACAAACTCTTCATAACACAAATTCTTCAGTCTAACTACCAACCCTGGTATAATTAGGCAAACTTCCAAAGGCTTCTCTTGGCAAAAGTTCAAAAGCAGAAGACGCCGACAAGAGATAAGTGCAGCAAGACTATCAACGTTGTTTTCCGACAAAGAGCCCAAGAGCCGTTGCTGGTCTTTTAAGCTTTATGGGAAGGGCCAATCAACTCTTGGCCCTTCTCTCAAGTCGTCCTCTTTCCTCTGCCTCTCTACTGTCAGCCTCTGGAGGCTCCGGAGTCTGCACCTCACTCCCCGATGGCCCTGGCCCCATCTCTGCCTCTGCCTCATCCGGGCCTTCCCCAGCCTCCAGGACTGGCCCATGTTCTTCCTCAACTTCATCGCTGTCCGACTCCACTGCCAGCTCCGCAGGCTGCTGGCGAACCACAACAGCTTCCTCACTGATTTTGCTTGTCAGAAGTTTGCAAAAGGTGATCACATGACCTTGGCACACAGCAGCGGTCATAAATATGATCCAGTTGCCAAGCATTGAAATTTTGACTATGGGGACGCTGCCAAAGTTCATAACCGTGAAAAGCGGCCATAGCTTTTTTCACTTTTTTCAGTGGCATTGTAGCTTTGAACGGTTGCTAATGAACTGTTGTATGTGGAGGGCTACCTGTATGGGCAGCCTCAAAGGCTTTGCTGGGAGTTTCTGCATCATTTATGTGTTACAGAACCTCACCAGCTCACCAGGCCAGATGGTCTGCAGATAAGGAAGAAGGGAACCAGAAGCACCTAAGGCACACAATTAGTGGGAACTATCTCCCGAGTGACTGCTGAGCTGGAAGAATAAATCTGTATCTCAGCAGAACAATAACAGAAGTGGAAATGATGACTTTGAAATACGACAGTTGCGACCTAGAAGAAGAAAGCAAAGCCCCTCAGGGTTTCATGTGAAATACCTTTAGCTCGTCTCAGGGAAATATATCAGTTGAAGAACCAGAGAAAGGAAGGTAGATTTCAAGTAGACCCTAACATTAATATGGGCAGGGAGGACTCAAGAACATCAGGGTCTTAGAGAAGAAAGGCAATAGAATGAATAAGATACCAAGGCAGACAAAGCTGGCAGTTCATGATTGCTGAATAAGGCACCCAGATCAGCAGTGGGTTTCACTTACCTTCGCTACCGGTTCGCTACTGGGAGCGCCTAAAATGTGACAAGAACTCATAGTTTCCTGGTCTCTGAATTAAAACTGCATTGTTTTTGAATATATTCTTAGGGAGTGATGAAGGCAAGCAGTAATGATTTATTTGGTATAGGAGTCTCAATCAATTAAAGTGTCAAATGATTGTTCCTCTTTACTAAATTAAAGATAAAACCTAATTATGAGATTTATCTCCCGACCATCCTAAGTACTGTGGGTGGCGATCATCCAACCATTAAACAGAATTTCAGGAGGCACAGTTTTGGAAGTTAAGTGTTAGAGGACAGAGTTGGGTTCCACATGACCTACTCTGCACTCCTAATTCAATTGTGGTCCCCAGGTGTCAGTGTAGATTAACCTCTCTTTGTCATTTTTTATAAGTGGAACAGAAGCTGTGTCAGCTCTGTCCTCTTCACCTTGAACAGCCAACTCTCCTGATTATGAAATTCCGACTTCCATTAACCCTAATCAATGGTCAACAATGATGGCAGCGATAGACTAACAGTTATCTGGAGAACTGAACATTCATTGCCCTTCTTACAGTGACTGGTATATTTTATGTTGTATGTTATGAATATATTACAAATATGATATTAGTTATGAATATAGAAGGTAACATGAACTTCTTATGAACTCCTGCTATGCAACCACGTTTAGCCTTTTCATGAATTCATTAGGAAACTCATATTGCTGGGATGTGTATACTACTGATAAGGAAAGATGGGTGTGTGTATGAATGTGTAATATTCTACTTGGTGATACCAAGTAGAACATTAGTGGGCTTAAGGAATGCAGTGGGTTCATTTTTCATGGAATCCTGGAACAAGAGTGACAATCTAAAGCTTCTGACATGGCTGGGGCAAAATCAGGGGTGAAATCCAGCAGGTTTCTGACAAGTTCTGGAGAATCGGAAGCAGAAATTTTGAATAGTTCGGAGAACCGGCAAATACCACCTCTGGCTAGCCCCAGATTGGGGTGGAAATGGAGATTTTGCAGTATCCTTTCCCTGCCACGCCCACCAAGCCACATCCACCAAGCCACACCACACCACGCCCACAGAACTGGTAGTAAAAAAAAAATGAATTTCACCACTGGGCAAGATGTACCATATACATGGATTCTGGGTAAACAAGTTGGGTATAAAGAGAAGACTGGAATGAACCCAGACTCCTGAAGTTCGAGACAACTTTTGTTTGAGTAGGGGGCTGAGGCTGCTTCCCAGCCCACTAGAATACAACCTGATCACCTGTGTTGAGACTGTATGTAAGTATTGTGTGAATGTGTAGCCTAGTTGGGCAACAATACTTAAAGCAACTTGAGTAGCCTGGCTGCGCATAGCTTATTGTAGTAAGATAACTTTGAAATTGGACAAGTACTGTATATGTACAAATATAAAGGAACTAATTAAGCTTAATTGCCCACTTGTCTTGCTTTTTGTCCGAATAACACAAGAATAAAAGAACTATTGGAAAACTTTATTTTGAGTGGCTTGAACTCAATTTTATGACAACATAAGCATTATTCCATTATTCACAGCCCTAGATTATTACCAGCATTGTGAGCAATATCCCTGAATTGGAGTTATACTTTTGAACTCAATTTGTTGGTTTGTATTAACTCATGCAGAATAGAAATTATATTTCATAATTTAGTTGTGGAAGAAAAAGCAACTTGATGGCAACATACACCAGCTATATTGAATACTTCTTTAGGTGGCCATAGATGCTGCCCAGTGCATGGAACAACTGAGTTTGGAGCATGAAAATGGAAAGAAATGTTTTTAGAAATATTGGGTATATATAGAATGAAAAGGGGCTGTTTTGTTCTTGATACACATAAAACAGTTATTTTGGAAAGAAGGTGTTTTGCTTCTCTCGAAAAAGCACCTTTGGGACAACCATGACCTGGATGACTAAGAATCTCCAGATATCTTCTCTAGTGATCAATACTGGACATGACCCAAACCTTCTCAGCAGAATCTCACAAAGGGAGAGGCGTGGCTTCCAAGTGAGGTAACAGGGAGATATGAAATACCTTTAATGAAGACCCTCCTTTGAGAATCAGGTTTGATTCTCAGTGAATCAATGTAGACCTTTCCATGTAATTGTCTGGGTAACAATATGGAAGCGAGGGGTCCATGATTGTAAAGGAGACCTTCTTTACGATATAATATTCTTTACAACAATATTGAAAATATTCTTTACAATATTGTTGTAAAGAAGACCTGCTTTAAGAGAGTGTTGCCTTAGTTACTCCTATCTTCTTAAAAGGGATCTTTAAGAAAATGTCTTTGCAGTGTTTCACTAGCTGCACAATTTATCAGTTGTTGGAGGAAGCTGGAGAGGGGTGAGGGGAAGGATCCTTGTTGGCAAGATCCTTGATAGTACAGTGGTCTAAGGCACCCTGTTATTAAGCTGGTTATTAAGACCAGATGCCTGCAATTACTGCAGGTTCGAATCTCGCCAAGGCTCAAGGTTGACTCAGCCTTCCATCCTTTCTAAGGTAGGTAAATTGAGCACCCAGTTGTGGGGGCAATAAGCTGACTTTGTATAAATATACAAAAAGGATGAAGGCTATTGCTGAGCATATTGTAAGCTGCCCTGAGTCTCCGGAGAAGGGTGGCATATAAATCAAATTAAAAAAAAAAAATCTCCAACTCAGAGAACAGAAGAGCTCCACTCACCCAACCCAACGGAGGAGGGAAAAACTGCTGGTGCCAATTTGCAGGAACTGGGAGTGGGCACATTTGCACGAGCAGCTCTACCGTTCCTAAGGGGACCTCAAGGACTCCATGGTGGGCGGGAGGGAGAGAGAGGGTTGCCTCCGATGCGTTACCTTCGTTCCTTGATAGAAGTCGTCTTTTGTGCGCGTCCCCATGAAGGGGAATTCCATGTGCGTGTGCGGGTCAATCCCGCCGGGAAGCACCAGCTTGTCCGTGGCATCCAACACCTGGACTCCGTCGGAAGGCGGCTGGAGATGCGGCCCCACCGCCCGCACGACCCCGTCCTCGATGTACACATCGGCCACTTGCGAGAAGTCCGCGTTCACCACTTTCCCACCGCGGATCAAGAGTTTCTGCATGATGGACGCTTGTGAGGGAGTTTCTGAGCACTCAGTCGCGGCGCGCGGAGCTCCTCGGAGCCGCGTTTTGAAGGGTCCCTCTCGACTCCGCCCCGACTCCTGGGGGGGATCCTCCCCGCCACCTCCCCTCCCTGGCGGCTTTTTTCTAAAGAAGAGACTCGGATTGGCCCCTGCGTCCTTGCCAAAGGCCCCTTGGCGCTTTCTTGCGCCACAGGTGGGAGTAACTCTGGAGGCGCCAACCGACCCTGGGTCATTAATTGATAGCCGTCCGGGGGAGGAAAGGTCTCATAACTATAAAGAACCCTCCCCACCCCCGTTCTATTATACCCGCCAATAATTACTTTGGAAGGAGAATACATAATTAGCATTATTGCCCAGTTTCTTACTGAATCTGGTAGCTTAAAGCATGGAGACATTTAGGTGTCCTAAATGGCACATTTAGGCTAGACAGTGTCTTTTTGTAAACGTAATTCTGTAAAAAAAATTTTTTTTGTAAAATTACTTTTCCTACTTTGTCCTGGATTCTAACTCCATTAAAAAAATGCTAGCCAGGCTTGCCAACTAGGTTGCAAAGGCCATTCTTATTGCCAACTAGTGGTGATCCAGATTTTTGCAGCCCAGATGAGGTAAATCCTAAATTTGGTATTACAGCTGTTGAGGTCAAACGTTTTAAGGGAAAGAGGAGGGTGTTCTAGCCTATGAAATATCTTTAATGTAGACCCTCGGGGTTGATTCCTGGTGAATTGTAGACATTTCCATATAATTGTCTAGGTAACAGTATGGAAGGAAGGGGTCCTTGGTTCTCTGTGAGCTTGCTTGTTTTCTTGCAGACATTTCATTAACCAAACATCAGCAGTGCTATAAGGAAGTGGGATTTGTTCCCAATTTATATTCCAGTGGCTTGCTGGTGGGAGACACTGTTGGTGAGTCAGTGTTGGTGGGAGTGGTCTTGGAGTTACTTAGATGAGGCTGTTTACTATTAGCTTGTTTGGCAGTTCCTTGATTAGGGTATTGTTTACTTCTTGATTGTTGGTCTGGTGTTAATGTTTGGGTTAATCTACACAAGAAAACAGCCAAACTCAGAGAGCATCAAGGACCCCACATTCCCACCCTGAGCTACAAATATTCTCCTTTTATCAATATGGAAGTGATTTAGCACTGCTTACTTCTGAGATGTTTTTTTCAGTTTTTCAAGCTTGTGTACTGCTTCACTGCTCCTCCAGGGCAATGTTTCTCAACATCTGGCAACTTTAAGATCGACTTCAACTCTCCAGCCAGCATTCTGGGAGTCAAGTCCACACATCAAAGTTACCAAGAAACACTGCCATGGAAGAACAACCAACTAACCTAGTCCTATTTTCCCATCTCACACATGGTTAATCTATACTGTATTACCAATATGCTGAGTCAATGTACTTTATCTCTTTCTCTTTTGGGTTTGTTTATTTTTCCGATAAGAAGTTGAAATTTAAATACTTTTAATGTTTGGTCTGCAAACATTCAGCGGCCTTGTGTCTATGGAGATTCTCAATCACCCATGTCAGTTATCTCAAAGGTGCTTTTTCAAAAGATTTTTCTTTGAGGAAGACAATGTTCCATTTCTTATCCAAGAAGCTTCATCAAACTTGTCACAACTGATGAAGCTTCTTGGATGAGAAACTAAACATCGTCGTCTTCTTTCTCAAAGAAAACAGCCCAGTTGCCTTTTGAAAAAAGCACATTTGAGATTCAGCTGCCTTGAACTCAAACACAATTTTCTCTTAGGTAATGACATATTTACAAAGTGATAAAGGGCCCATTTGGAAAATGAATCTATATTCTTGAGAAGTAACAGCAGAGGTGAGGAAAAAAGTCTATTCAGAAAATATCAAATTGCCATAATGCTGCCTCCTACCATTGCCTCTAGACTTCTCCTCCTGCAGTGATGCTCTCTATTGCCTCCTTCAACTTAAATTACTTAATGTAATTTTATAATATGTGTGGGCCACGACTATCCTTTGGTTATTTTACAATGGCCAAAATGTAAGCATTTTTAATTAATAAAGAGAATTAGAGGTAGTTCTTGACTTACGACCACAATTGGAACCAAAATTTCTTACTAAGCAAAGTGGTGGTTAAGTGAGTCGTGCCCAATTTTACGATATATTTTTTTTTAGTCATGTTTGTCGACCAAATCACCGTAGTTGTTAAATGAATCACATGGTGGTTAAACAAATGTGGCTTCCCTCATCGACTTTGCTTGTTCCAAGCAGGCTGGGAAATTTGCAAAAGGAAATCACATGACCCTCAGGACACTGCAACCATCCCAAATACATGCCAATTGTCAAACACCACAAATTTTGATCAAGACGGTCATAAATGTGAGAACTGGTTGTAAGTCACTTTTTTCAATGACCCTGTAACTTTGAATGGTCGCTAAATAAATAGTTGTAAATTTAGGACCTACATGGTGTCATTACAGAAATGGCCAACAATTTGAATTTGGTTTTCTATAGGTAATCACAACTTAATATCTACTAAATCAGGGGTCTCCAACCTTGGCAACTTGAAGCCTTCAATTCCCCAGCAACTGGCTGGGGAATTCTGGGAACTAAAGTCCACCAGGCTTAAAGTTGCCAAGGTTGGAGACCCCTGTACTAAACCATACCAACTTTTGCTGTATCAGCTCAGGATGGCCTATTATCTACTAGATAAAAATAGAGAAATCTCTAACCATTTTGCTGTGGTGGTAGGAAGGCCTATCTCTTCATATGTTTTTGGAAGGGTGGCTTTTCTTTGCCAACTGTAAACAAATTAAATACAACAGAAGGCATATAAATTGAATACATAAATAAATAATAAATTTTGTTTTTGTGCAACAAACGGGGTTGGAATCAGTTCAAAAATTCTCAGTTAACAGTACATTCCCCAAATGTTCAGTTTCTTACAGAAATATATATATATTACAAAATATAATATATATTACATAATATATTATCTGTAATAATGTGATAAAAGTATGGTAATCCATAATACATCTGTCTCTCTCTCCCTGGACTATAATTGCCATCAAAGCATTTATGATAAGTCAGCAGGTCTATTCTCTCTTTCTTCACATTGCTGGGCTATTAAGTTCATCCAAAAGTTTGCAGCGAGTTTGGCCAACCTTATCTTTGACTGAAAAGTACTTTGCTCTTTTGGAAAAAATTGTCAATTGCTTTGCAGGAAAATTTATTTCTATTCTTTCCTATTTCTTCAGTACACATAAATGATCTGCTTTTGACAAATCATGTTTCCCTTTTAATAACTATACATTATGCATAGAAAAATACTATTTTATAGTATTCATACTATTCTACGTAAGCATATTAATAATTTATTTCCTGCCTCTGTTTATAAGTAACTCAAGGTGAACATACCTAATACTCTTTCCTCCTCCTATTTTCCCCATAGCAACTGCCCTGTGAGATGGGCTGAGTTAAGAGAATGACTGGCCCAAGGTCACCCAACTAGTTTTCATGCTTAAGGTGGGACTAGAATATACGACTTCTTGCGTGGTGTCTTAACCACTAGTACACTACACTCGTGTGTACTCTTATGGAGAAGTTTGCAGTTAAGCACATGAATAATGACTCTGATACCACAGCCCCTCTGAATATAGATGGTAGAAGTGGGTGAAGGGTCCATCCATAGAGATGTTCTCTCCTAAAGTGTCCCTCTGCTATAAGGCTATAAAAGAGTCAACATACAATTTCATACACATGTGCTGCATGATCAAGACAAGAACTGGTTCTTACCTAATTAGTTCTTCAAGTGATCATCTCATGCTCAAAGGTAATGCATTTATACAAAGGCCCATTTGAAACCTTACAGAATTATGTGGCAGGAGCCCTGTCCTCCAAGCAAACCATAAAATTATAGTCAGCTTCTGCTAAATGCTCAGTTTAAAGATAAACACAGCAGATTTGAAGAAGCTATGAAGTCCTGAGATTAAATGGGTTAGAATTATAGGTCAAGTGAACGCACAGATAAACATTCAAAGGCCCAGGAAATACAGTTCATTATCTCACTTCTTTGCTTAAGTGTAGAATGTTGTCTATACATGTTAGAGCTTGTTAAAGGAGACCCTCTAATACTGCTTTGGAAATTTTTAAATCACCTCTGTGAATAACACACACTGATATATAGTCCTAGCAAAATGATACCATAAAATTTAAATAAAAGGCAGGAATTTAATAAGACATCCAGGGAACAAAGCAATGTTTCCATTGGTGTTAAGGAGTTGGTAAAATACAGGAAATAGGTCATAATTCAGAGGGAAGGTAAAGTCCAACCTTGGAAGGAAGTAAATCTTTAGATTTAAGAACTTTGTAATGAGCAGAGTTCTCCAGCTCAACTAACCAAAGTTGGAACAAAAATTGCATTTCCATTGGGGAGGGGTTTGGGATGGCAGCCACAAACTCAAAGGATTTCAACATTAAAATAGAGCAAGAAAGAAGCTCCAGGCCAGAAGTGGTAGAGACACTGGAGAATAGAGAGGCATCCTAAGTCTTTCATGAAATGTTTTATTAGCAAGTTAGAAAAAAAGAGCCTAACGACAGAAGAAAAAAGAGGCCTATAAGATATGTTTTCATACTTAAAGAAAGAGGCAAGTTAATGAAAGAGAAAAGCGGAAATGAGATGGATCTGATAAATCAGATTAATCTGAGTTCTTTACTGGTCTATTGAAGGATGGAGAGCCATTGGCTTACATCTTTCCCCAAAAAATTGGCTGGAAAATTATTTTTCCACATCTAGAATGTGATTGCATCTAAAGTTGCAATCTTATGCATGCCTACTTAGAATGAAGCTGCTTAAACAAACAAACAATAGGAAGGGACTTCCATGTATAGGATTATACTAAGTTAATTGTTTACAATCCAGGATAAAACAAACGTTTTATTCTTAGAAACAGAAGTCATAATCTATTCAAGCAATAATTTCATTATTTTCTTGAAATCACTGAAAATGAAATGTTTAATTCTAGGCATTCAACTTTTGCAATAGGTTTGTATCTTTCTAAATTATTTAAG